TGAAGTAGACAAACGAAATTACCTTTTTACCAACAGAGCCTGCTGCAAGCGTTATGCACATGAAAATTAATACACAACTTAATTTCAAAATACAAACAATTAGTTTTCTCCATTTCAATAACAACACAAAGCTTTATTCCAAGCAAAGGAAAGATGTTTTGATAATTACAAGGGTCGTTATATATCCCTTTCCTAGCGCAACCCTCTCTGAAATGGAGACCCAGTCGTGATATCGGCATTCACCGCCCAACGCCAGTGGGAAATGTTGTTGTTCTCCAATTAATTTCGTACGCTGTTGAGCCGTTTCCACGCCCCTTGCGAGTGGTTGAGAAAAAAATTACGGAACCGAGACGCCCTAGCCCCGTTTAGGGGAATGTTTATTGTTAAATTGATTCTTGCCTCACTTGCATACAATTCGACGGTCCTACATCCATGACGTTTATCTTTAAACCACGGTTTCGCCGCCCAGTTCAGAAACAACATCGATTTACCTCCTTTCAACAAATATTCGTTGATTTGCAGTTGGAAGTACCGACGTCAGCTCCACTAACATGGTTATCTTACTTGCTCATCGCAAAAGGCAAAACAAAACCGACTGAGATGTACGCAGACTTTGTTTTGGTTGTATTTGGTTTAATTGGGGGTAAAGCAGTCCATTGTAGGTTACTCCCACCAAACACCTATACCTGTTTGCACTCCAGAGGAGTGGTGCGACTGCAGGGTATAAAATGGTTTGCCTAGGGACACAACACACCGCCAGCTTCTGGATTGGAACCCCTGTCTCAGGTATCCATCCATTCCTTGCCACTGGGTTACACTCTCCCAGTTCTTGAAAGCTCTCAGCTGTTGAGGAGTACCGACCTCTATCCCATAGGCAGCCATCTTGATTTTCTACCATTCAAAGTAACAGAGGTTAGAAGGGAAAATAGTCCGTTCCCTTTCATAAATTCTTACAAATGGGTCATTAGGGAGACATTTTGTGGTAAATTTTTCGACCTTAGGGAGACATCGGTCATTAAGGAGACATTTCAATGTCTCCCTAATGACCCATCTACCAGAAGGAGGCCGAATTTTATTGTCCAGATTTTGAGAGATGAGAGATAAGAGTGTAAATTGAAAACATACAAAGTTTGGTTTAGATCAGAATAGTGAATAGTTAATTGTGGGACAATAAAGTTTTTGCATGTTCTTATGGGAATGTCTCCCAATTGACCCATTTTCGGTAATAATAATACGTGAAGTTGTTTTACTATTGCCAGTGGGTCTACGGGGAACAAGACAAACATGGCAGCATCATGGTAAAGATCTTTACTCCCCAAACCTTGGTGATGTCACACGGTCAAATTCAGGCATTCACAACAATCAAATAAAAAACAAGAGGGAAGAATCATAACTGCTCAAGAATAATCGGCTGTCGCGCCAGGAAACAGTAAATGGACGACCCGTTCATCAAATGCAAAGGGAATAGGGCCTATAATTGGTCCGCATTCCTCAGTTTCATTAAGCATCAGCAGCCAACGCCTACGATTTGGCCAAAGGTGAAACAAAGAACTCCTCTAAACGGGATAGCCTCCTGACACATCTCATTATTTTAATGACATGCCATGTCTGGAAAAAGAGATTTAATATTAAATGCAATAGCATCTCTGTATATGTTTAAAACATAACTCAGGCACACGATAATACATCGAATGATGAGCCTGGTTTATTCATTAATCCATGTTGACTCAACACGGCGTTGCCAAAGAGACGAACGCGCTCTGTTGGCGAAAATAGATATGCGTTTTTTTTCTGTCTTTTGAACATTCTGATTGCAAGGGACTTGCAATGGCTTTTTCAGTTGTCACAGCAACCTGGAAAAAGTAACCAGTTGTACTTTGGTCCACAATCGTCGCAGGTTTTGTACAAACTGTACACACATTCAGTTGCCATACATTAGCTATTAATTTAAGGAAAAAAGAAGTGGTTATGATGAAAACAGATCTAGGCTTATTAGAATCAATAGTTAGTAATGGAAATGAACGAAAGGAATTTTAGTCATGCGTGTAATATGAAACAAGTACACACATATACCCGTATAAAAAATGTTTTAGTGATTGAGTAGAAACAAGAGGTGTTTGCAATTTGACGTGTAAAAAGGAAGTCTTACAAGGAGTGGCTTGCCACTTATGTATGTTAATGGTATCCCGTTTTATTGACTACGATTTAATATAACATTACTTTTACAATTGGTCTTAAGCCTTTATAATTTAGGCTGTACTTTCCTTTTTATTATTTCTTTTGTTTCTACAAGAGCGGAGGGCTGAGCTAAAAAAAGGAACAAACAATGACAAACAAAGCAAAATAAACGAAAAAAAAGCAAAACAATAAGCAAGGTTTAACAAAGCATTATTACAATCGATTTCCAAAATAGTAGACAAACTTCACAATTATCCAAACTCCCAGCAATAAACTGCAAAAGTCAAACGAGAGGATCTTACTTTAGATTTTTTTTCAATGCCTTTCAGCTTTAATTTTGCAAAACGGTGGCAAATGGTGAACCTGTTTGTGTGCGGTTGTGTGTTTATATTGCCAGAAAGCTCATTCTGCTAAAGCCCCTTGTCTGTTTTGAATGCAAATTCGCATTTTGACCGTCAGCGTTGATTTCATCATTTTTACAATTTGCTCCCATCCATTCGTGTTAAAATAGAAATTATAAGAACCCCTTTTTTAATCTCTCCCATCTCTTTTCTCTTTCTCTTCTCTCAGTCTATCCCCCCCCGGACAACTCCACCTCCGACGGATTTGTTGGCACCATTTTTTCCCTATCGTAGTGGAATCGGTGTATCCATTTATCAAATATTAGCGCAAATACCCTAAGAAATCAACACCGAGCAATGAAAGGAAGAATGTTGGGACTGTCACTAAGGCTTTTGATATGTTTTTGTCCCCCAACATCCAGTTGAAGGAGCCCGGAAACCGCATTCGCTTTTGAATTTGCACTCCGCCCCTCCCGGACACCATAAGCTGGACACGCTGCTGTATCAGATGCCACCCATTCAACTTCTGCTTCGCCTGCTTCCTCTGGCACACGTCTTTAAGGACCTGGTCTGTTCGCTAGTGGGTCCAATGAACCTGTTCGGTATTTCAAAGCAGCCAATTCATTCTGGAATAAAGCACGCGCGCGAGTCAGCGTAGGGCCGCGCTGATAAGGGTAGACCCTTGCCCTGTACGCACGTCTGAATGACCTCGGACGCGCCTCATAATAGACATGCGCTATTCGAGCACATGTCATTGTTCTCTCTGGGCTGGATGGCCAGCCCACCTCCACTTAGTTAATACTGACACAAAATGTTTTTAATACTAACTGCAAAAACTTAAAACAGATGGCCCTGTATTTGCATTTCGGGGCTGTAGTGATATATTACCAACAGCTTTTCAAATTTCAATGCGGCTATGAATGTAAAAAGGGGTAGTTATTTTGATATCTGACACTGAATCATATCTGAATTTCAATTATTTCAAATAACAGGTGTTACCGATAATTTATGGCATTGCCAGCCTTACGTTTCGTCCTGTATATCCATGTATATCACAGTATTGTTAAATTACTTATGGAATTATGCTCATAGCGTTTACCAATTAACAGGTAATGAAATGCCGTTGATGACCATTCGGGAGTGGCATGAAAAGACCACGTGTTGTTGTTCGAAGCAACTCCGTTCCAAAGGAAAGGTGAAAAATTTTGTTGGAGGGCCCAAAATTGTGGAGATTTTTCTGTAACCATTTATGGCTTCTCTGTGGGAGTTATGCCACGTTCTTCGCTTTTTAAATGCCGTGCAATGGAAGGAAAGGAAACAAACCTCGAAATTTGCAATTCTGTATTCTTCTTCAAATTTGCTTCCTTGTAACGGTGGTCCTGCGGAGCCCATTGCCTGTTTATAGTAGGCACATTGGGTTGGGAAAATACTGCGGTAATGCGAACTATGAACGGCGATGCTGCAAAGTACGAAGCGTTTATTCCATGACCCTGGCCCAGAAATATTAAACCCGTAGTTAAACTAGTTAATATTTGACGAAAGCAGGTTCAAGGGTTCAGGACTGAAAACACGTCATCCCGACTCGTGATTATTACGGATCTTCGGTCTTAGATAATCAAGCCTCTTTGTTTTCATCAGATACAGAAAAGGTGGGTTAACTATGTAGCTATATATTTCTAAAGTTTGCTAATAAATTGTCTATAAAATCCTTTTATTTTTTGCCCTCGTTTCATTGTGTTGGGAGCTAATAACAGATTTGTTCACATTGTTTGAATCGACAGGTTCATGCAGCCTCTTGGAGAGCAATTTGCTCCCGTAGAAATGTATAATCAACAAAAAAGGGCACAGACTGGAAAGGAAGCAATTCAGTCAGCTGGGGGGGGGTCAGCTGGCCAGCCACCCATGAAGATAACAAGTCAGCTGCTCCAACAACCATACCATGTGGCTGGCCAACTAGCCAGCCAGCCAGCAAGCAGAGAGCCAGCTGCTACAAAAATAAATTAATAAAAATAAAAAAGACCAGTTTGACCAGACGTCTCGGTTTCTGGTTCCATCCATGCGCCCCAGTCCATAAAGTTTCTTTTAAAATTGTGCACGGGTGGAAAGCACAAAGTTTCCAGTGCTCATGCCAAAAACAAATACCCCATTTGCAGAACGTCACTGATTGAGAAACGGAAAAGGCAGAGGAAAATATTTGTAAAAATTAATTTCAGCACTGACTCAACCTTGCCAGCAGCTTACGCAGCAAGGTTGCCATGATGTAGAAACAGACTGATTGTCTGACAAGCATGTGAATGATTAACGTTTGGAGGGTTAAGCCGTGTCAGAGGCTACGACTACGTCTTTTGTCTGCCTGTCCTTGCGTATATCCAATGTAGCGAAGGCTTAGACCTAGCTCTAGACAGGAGATTTGGATGCAGCCCAATTAGGTAGTAAAAAATGACACTTTGAAATCCTGTGACGTCAGTCATGCCATCCAGTGTCCCGCCAATCAGAGTGAGGGTGGGGCCCCTGATCAGAATGTATATAAAATCCTAACACTGGGCATTTGACATCAGTCCGTGGACTTGCCTAGAAAGCAGCATATAAGGTAGGATTAGCATTTTCCCTTCTAAAAACATAAGATTATATTATTCTTTGTCGAAAATATAAAAAGAACTACCCCGCACTAAAATGTGTAGGAAATTTTCTCGTCTTTCTTTTTTTTTCCCTCCGTGGCGACTTTGGTAGTTCTAAGACTATCGGATTAGCGACATGAATTTGGAGCATACCACTTTCTCAGAAATATCAAGCTTTTGGATTTGAAATAACAATTAGATACTGTCGTACGATTTGAGTTTTTTCCTGAGGAGTTCACTTTTCTGCTTCAACATTATTTATTTTTTCATTGGTTACTGTCATTTTTCTGTTGTAGGCCTATGTTGCTATCTACTGAATGATCTATTTTGTTTCGTAAAAACGCACGTCCTCTTTGGACTTTTTTTCAACTTGTATATTTTATGTCCCACTTGGTTAAATTTTCAGCACCTCCTTCTCCCTCAATTTACTCTCTGAGGTCAGAACACCAAGCAACTCTTCACCACATCATGAAGATCCTGTGCCTTGTTTTGGTTGTTGCCCTTTCCATTAGTAAGTTTCCTTGAAAAAAAAATGGAAATGCTTACATTTAACGCTGATTAAAAACTACTGCTCATTAATTAAAAATGCGTATAGAGTTATATAATATATACCAGAGTCACAGTGGCGTATCCAGCTTAGTATAAAGGGGCAGATTCAAAAGTGAATGCGGCTTTGGGCTCATCTAATATGATGTTGGTGGGAAAAACTCAAAAGCCTTACTCGCGGTCCCGACATCCTTGCTTTTAGTTGTTTGGTGTTGTTGTCCTAGGGTTCTGGTGCTAATATTTGATAAATAAATATTCTGATTAATTTCTTACCAATGAAGTATTCTCTGTATAAAAGAAATCCCAGGGGGACTTGCCTCCCCCCCCCGCTGGATACGCCACAGCATAGTCAGCTGTCTCTATATCCTACAACTGTAGCTGCTTTTGTAAGAAACTTTCTCTGGATTGATACAACATAAAGTTGGGGCAAAACGTTTACATACACTTGGTAGAAAACAGTTTTCCTCAGTTTTTAGCTGTTTGAAATAGTTTTGCCAATTTTTTGTTTCTTTACGAGGTCAGACAACTTGATGTTCATAGTGTGTACTGAAACTACTCAGAGATATTTATTATGGTTCAAATGTGAATATTTCTGAAAAATCATTTCGTGAAATTTACATCCACCCCCTCATTTTCCCTCAAAAACACTTCAGAAAGTGGTCCACTGCTACCATGACTGAGACGTGACATAAAACGCCGAAAGTGGCACTAAATATTAGGGTTGGAGTAGGTGAAAGTTGAATTTTTTTTTTGGTTAATATAAATATGAATCATACGTCTTTGGGTGTGTTTTATTGACGCTCACAGCATGTACATCAAGTAGAGACCCAACTTGTCTGTCCCCAAGAAAGACAAGTTGATAGGAACGAAGGAAGTTGTGAAATTCTGTTTTTGTTCTATCAGATGTCTGTAAACTTTTTGCCCCAACTGTCTGAAATTGAATGTCAGTTGTTCAAAAAATCAGCGTTTGAATATTATCTGGTCAGGTGATTTAGTTGTGGTCAACATGATTGAAGCATACTCAGGGTCGATTTGTGAATTTTTAGATGAAACAAGGCTGATTCAATCAATCATTAGTTGGTAATGGTTAACGTATCAGTCGTTCATTGGATAGCCACAATGGTGGTTATTCAAGGATAGCTGTAATCAATTGGTTTATTACAAATCTTTGAAAGTCATTCTTGTGGCTTAGTGAAACTTATTTTCAACTTTTGTTTCACTATTTCTGAGGGTATTTTACTCCTATGTTGGTTTTATACTCCTGAGTATTTCCATATTCAAGGGCAAAACTATGATGTCATCCCTCTATGTTACATTGGTTAATACATGAAAAAGTCCTGCAGTTTTGTAAATTTTGTTTGACTACATTTTCTTCTCTTTGTTGCATTGTTGTTTGTATGTGTAGCAATAAGCACGCATTAACCCCTTTATCAGATATGTTTTCAGTAAGTAAATTCTGACTTTTCAATTTGAAAAGACAAAAACTATGCACTGAACAATGTCTCCCCTAGATGACTTCCCAGCAACACCGCCCTCCGTTGTTCAGAACAACACAGATAATTTTAAAATTTCCAAAAATGTTCTTTTCAGTGTATTTAACCAACCAGGAGTGTAAAGACGTTTTCATACAATGAAGAAGAGTCTAGCGTTTCAGAAAATTGTGCCTAAGTAAAATTCATTGCATCTGCACATTCAAGCGGATAAACATATCTGTCAGTAACTAACTGAGTCTGTATTTTGGAATAGGTGGGTTACGTTAGTGTGTCAGTTAGTTTAATGAAAGTTTCGTCGGTTGATTTTGTCGAAGTGAAAGCGTCATAGCTAGCTAGACGACTGCCTGTCTGGCTGACTGGTAGGCTGTCTTGCCTGCTGACTGGGTTGTTAGCTGGTAGCTTGCTGGTCATGGCGTATGTGGCGTCACTGGCTAGCTTAAAGGGGAGCCTAGTTGGCTTGCGGGCTGCCCTACTGTCGCTTTGTTTGCCAGAGGGCTGGTGAAAAGATGGATCATTTTCTATCAATCCGAGAGCAAACTTGATTTGCTATGTTTAGAGTATTTCTTTCAGATCAAATCTTTGTCTTAATCCATATTACTCTCTGAAACCATCGATTTAAAGTTCCTTTTAGTGTTAGCCTGTACTTATAGGCCCTACTTTTTTCATCAAGCCAGAATAAAGAAAGTTGAGAGTCCACCCCACCATAACGCACAAATAACGACATGGCAAAGTAATGCATACATACCAAATGCTAGTTGGTAACACTGCAGACTATTTTACGAATTTCAAATCGACCTTAAAGCAGAATAAGCCATTTTATCCTGCATCATTGATATTTATTTCATCCTATTTCTTTAGAATGCAGTTTTGCTACGGTCGCGACATGTGAAACCTGCGACCTTGGAGTGGGCTGTGCAACACTGGCCTTTGATAAAACCAAGCAGCCTTGTACCGCCCCTGTAAATCTTGGATGTTATGTACGTACTACTTGCTGTATTTCCATCATGTTAAGTGGGCATCTCTAAACTCATTTTGTTGTTGTTTGCACAAAGTAATTGCAGAATGGTAGGGGCACCAAAAGTTTGATGTCATGGGGCGTAGAAATTACTGTCCGATCAATTATTTTTTTTTAGATTTATTATTTGGTAAAAAGAGCTATAATTTATCAACAGCAACAAGTCGGCTTCGAAAAGGTTACTTGCGCTAGGTCGTCTTTTCACTTGTTTTGCAAAAGTTATTTGGACACCTTGTTAAAAAGTTTTTGAAAATGGAGAAATGTATGAAAAAAGAAATGATTATAAATGATGTAGAAATCGATCTAACAACGCATTGAGATTCTGAAGTTGGAATATTTGAAGAAATGACAGCTTTTAAGAATACAAAATGTGGTTGGTTTTCAACCACTTAAAAACAAGCGTACGTTGGCGACTTACAAAACTTGGAAAGATTGACCTAAATGTCATGTCACACAAAATTTTCTGGAAAGCTTCACGAAAGCATGCATCTTCCACAACTGGTCCTCAAGCGTAAAACTTGGCAATTATTTCTTTCCCGATCACGGAGACAGGTAGTTAACTAGACGATTTTTATTCGGGGGATTGCCATGTTGGGGGAAAGGGGGACATGACAAAGTATAACGGCATTAACCAGAAGTTTTTATTCTGTTTGGTCTTGAAAGCGTTTGCCTGGAGGATGGCCAGTAAAATGAACGGCCTTTCGTATTGACAGTGAAATTACACGTTCGAAGTGGGACAAAACTTTTCACACGCGGGACCCGAAAGCTTCGACTCTGTGTTTGTATGGTGGCCAAATTTCTTTGTTCTCTTTCTTCCTCGGATTTTAGCGCAAGCTGAAGTCGGATGTCCTCCTCATAGCGGGGTGTGCCGACGATACGATAAAGAAAGCCGCAGGGGGAAAGAGCGGGGAATGTGCAACCGACAAGAACGATATCAAAACTTGCTTTTGCGACAAAGCCAACTGCAACAGTGCCAGTCTCCTGGGGCTGAACCTCGTCGCGCTCGTCGCGACGGTGACTGCGGCGCTCTGGCTTTAGAGGAGCGAAAGGTTCGAGGGGAGGGTTTCGAATCAGCGCTACACAACCAAGAACAACCTTTAAAAAAACCCAAACAAACAATAAACTTCATGAGCCTTAAAGGAAGAATAAATATATCAATGCATAGTCATGCACAGTGAAAATGGGGCTGGCAAACCCAAGTACTTCAATGAAAACATCCAGTTTACTAGGAATATAAACTCAAAGAGTTTCGTCTCAGTTCAAACTGTTGTTCTTGGTTGGCCACAATGAGCCTGTTCGGTATTTCATTTCGGGGACAAAGCGTGGGCTGATTGGACAGACTATCGTGTGCGCGCGCACTACTATGCCCATGAACAGCCTCGTGCTGGGCATGCACTGTTCAAATACCGAACTGGCCATTCGTTTCCCTCCCTTCGCCCGAAATTTGATTTCGGGTTGTCTGCTTTTGATATTGTACTGTTTTGTGACATTTGATGTTTGTAACATTAGCGAAACCTCGTAACATTAGCGAAAACTTTTTCCTCGTAAGGAAATTCTTTTCCCGAAACTGGTGAAACTCACAGATGGACTTGCTGACGCAGCTAGGCCTCCCTGTAATGAAAGCCTATGACATTGTGCAGTGATTTGCGTTCATTACAATAATTACAGCTCTTCGAATATTCATAAATTCATCCCAGTGATGAGTGATTTTTCACTGCGACGGATTTGCGGATGAGTTGGCATCCAGAGGAAACTTTTCAATCATTGTGGAGTGCACAATCGAGGTTTGATAGCTTTGTAAAGCTATAGATGAGATGCCCTGCTGCAGTTCCATCGAATATTCGTTTTATTAATAAATGGTAATACACATTAGAAGTGTCAGACGCAGCGCTGGTGAGGTTTCCAATTGATTTCGAAAAACACCATAGATAAGAATTTACTTCTAAAATCTTAGTCATCTGCTCTTTGAACTTGTTTTTTTTCTTTAAACAAGTAAATATTATTAACAATTTCTAATGGTGATTTTAATATTCCCGGAAGTGAGCATAGTTTTATGGCATAAAGTGAAACCCAGTGTTTTGCAGATTGAAGAGTTGTCAAGTAAAAACTCTACATTGTTCTTATTCAATAATAGTGTTCTAATGAACCACAACCAGCACAAGACTGAATGATGATCATTATTTTTGGACGTGAAAAAACATCAGCCAGTATCTGACAAAGGACAAAAAGCCAGTACCTCGATGAGTCAGATTAAATGTGAACAAACTGCGGATTATCATAACACAACGAGAAATCCTGGAGTAATGTCCTTTATTGACAGTGTTGTTAATTTGTTTTGTGGTATAAATGCAAAGTGGAAACATTGGCAAAATAAATCACCCTTACTAACACGAGAATGAAGAGCTTTTTAAACACAGCCATGGTCTTTCGTCGTCTCGGTCTTCCGTGAACAGAATTGAGTTTTTATCTTGTCAAGCAACAATGCGCCAGCGTTAATATTTCTCCAACAATTAATGGAAATTATTAACGGCAATCCCTAGCCTCGCAGGTGGTACTGTGTGGTAAGAACCAGTGAACCTAAAGTAGATAATCGAAGAGCGAGGAAGATTCCGAACCTTGGCTTCAAAATCTTTGATTTCAAAGATTATCCCTCCTTTGTCCACTTGTTCAGGCAATAATATTTTTTCAAGTCGCATGAGGGCGCACTATTGCGATACAGCAACCACAACAGTCAGGACAGCATTTTGTGTCAGTGCTTTAAGGTCACCGAACACAGTTCACCCAGCAAATTCATGCCCTCCTAGAGGCCTCGAGCTGGACCAAGAGAGGGCGCAGTTTTCTTAGCAACGCATTCTCCTTTGGTAGGAACTGTGCTTTCCTGGTTCACAAACAAATTAAGCACTTCCGACCAATATGGCTCTTTTTAACCGATGACGAAGTGTTTCAGTTCAAGGCGCATTGCGTCATCAAATAACTGTATTATGTCAAACAGACAAAACAGAGCTAGAAAAATTCAGAGATAACAGCAACAAATACCTTGGATATAAGGAAAAGTGATGAATATTCTTCTCTATGGTTATTATCTTGTATCTTTCCATCAATTCTTGGTTTGTTTACTGATCTGATGTGTTTCTCAAGGTGAATTGTTTATTTGTGTGAGTGTCGAGCTTTGTTTGTGGTGTGGTTTGTTGAGTATTTGCTGTTGTTGTTCTTGTGTGTGTTTTATCCCAAGGCCTGCCACTTCGTTGGCTGAGTTCTGCCAAATCGCTCACAGCCAAATCGCTCGCAAGACCTTTCCCAAGTCCATTCACAATTGACAGGGTGAACGATCTTAACGGGGGGGCTTTTGTTGCAATTCATTAGATTAGCTAGTGACTTGAATTCAGGCTTGAGTCTTTGTGTCGGTCTTGGGATACAGTCTCAACTACAACCCTGCCCAACGCAGAGCTGTGTATACAGAGAGATCCAATATGAGGATCGCAATTGTTGGAAGCAAATAGTGTATTATGCTTCAATGCAAATTGCCGATTAGCACATGATAGCTTCAGGCACGTGTGGACTGAGTCACTTGATTTGGACTCAAGTCGCACTGGAGTCGCTATTCTTGTGACTCGTTTAATTAACAATCAATTTTTTGACTTGTGACTTGACTTGGACTTGCAAAAATTGACCTGCTACCACCGCTGGCTACATGCCCGTACTGCACGCATAATATGAACAGCCATTTTGGTTCCAAAGTCTGAAGCAGGTGCTACTCTCTTAATTATTAAACAGTTCTGGTCCCATCCACCGCATAATTATACTTGGGGTAAGTCTGCGTCACCAATGGCAACCTGCACACTCAATATCTGTCGGACCTTGTCTGCTCATAGGCCCGCTTAGTTCTGATTCACGTTTTATATATTCTGGTTTATTAACATAATTTGAATTAAATGGTCTTAGGACCCAAACCATTCAAATTCACAAAAATTACTCATTTCATTCAAAACACTAAAAATAATAACCAAAACAATAAAAAATTTTGGACAGAAGAATAAACTACCAAATTTCAGCCAATGAGGGTATCGTTGAACGGCTGTAACGCTCAGTGTTTTAACGTGGGGCTATAAAATTAGAGGTAACCGTTGTTCTGAGTTGATAACCATTTTCTGGCCGTGGTGGGAGCATTTCGCGGAACCTTCATGTCAGACTCAAACAATTTCCTGCCAAATTTAATTTTAAGAGATAAAGGGCAGCCGCAATCAACGTCTTTGACTACAAACCTGCAAAGTGCACCTTTGTGCCTCAGTAAACCTTATTTTAAACTTTGAATATTTGAAAGAGTATTTGAATACCTTTTTGATTTTATGCGAATAGGTATTTTTATATTAATGAGCAAAACTGTGATGTCATTTCAGGAAGAAGCCCCAATGTTACATTTGTTTGTACACAAAAACGTCCTACGTTTTTGTAGATTTTCCTGGACTATTTTTTTTTCTTTTTTGCTGATTCATTGTTGTTTATGTGCAGAGCAATAAGATACCACCTATCCCTCTATCAGAAATGTTATCAATTAGTAAATTCCGGGTTCACAATTTGAACAGAAATACCTATGCACTGAGCCATGTCTTCCCTAGATGACTTCACAGCAACGGCGCCCTCAGTTGTCCGGTAAAACATGGATAATTTTTATTGTTTAAAAGACGTGCACTTTTCAGTGCATATAACCCAATGGGAGTGTGTAAGAGTTTTCATAAGGAAAGTACAAAGATGCAGAAAAATTGTACTGAAGAAAAGTTCAATGCAGCTACACTTTAAGATACAAAATCCGGCAGATTTTGCTTTTAATTTACAGATCTTTGCTTAAAAACAATAGATATATTGAAACAATCGTCTTTGTGTAAAACTTTTTCAAAGAAATCAGATGAGTATAACATTTCAATGAATGAATAAAACACTCAGTACAGAGCAGCGTTATTCGACAGCTATAGCTGTAGTTGTTACATTTGAGCAAGCAACAAAAATTAAAGGTGTAAAGCCCCCCCCCCAAAAAAGTCTCCAGGTTCTAGTCAGCGCAAGTCGTTGTAGACCTGTGCATTGGCAAAATAAAAGAAAAGTTTTTTTTATTTGGTGTAAAAGGCCAACGCCAAAGCTGCCAAACTTGCTTAATCGACTGGAGTCCTGCTACTGTGTAATTTTAACGCGTTTTTGATGCGGTATGGTTGAGTGGTATGTGCAGTAAGGAAGTGCCTCCAGTTCCTCATACATTTAGTCGGGCACTCTTTTTTGGATGATGTCGTTTCTGTATAATAAATCTACATCTGGGAACAAGACAAACGAGCTGGTCTTATGTCCTGTGTGCATGGAAAGTTTAAAATGCTGCAAGCAGTAAAAGTGCGGGGCAGTCACGATGGACATCGCGTGTTATCATACACCATATATTTCCCCCAAAAAGGTCAGGTTAAAGAAAAAGGTCGAGTCGCCGCACCACTTTTGGAGCCAGCTCCTGATCAGAAACCGGAGACTTTTTTTCTGGCCTGATGGACTTTGATTCATAAGTCAGATTCTACACCTATAAGTACTTCATTAGCAGCTTGTGCAGGATTCCAAATCAAGTGTTCTTGGAGGTTTTCTGGATGACAATTTGATAACAGGAATGAACAAATTAATTCCAGACAACGTAATGATCATTCAAGTTTTAGAAAACACTTGCGACTGCCGCTGTAATAGCTGAAGCTATCATGGTGACGGGTCCGAAGGTCACCGCACCTGCGCGGTTGCAAAAGTTATCTGAGCAGCAATGAGAGCAGATCCTGACAGGCTTTTCAAGCACGGTGCCGTCTTGACATTTTTCCTCGCAAAAGGGCGTGCATCCTCTGCTCACCTCCTCGATGACGTCACTTCCGGGTGTGGTTGCATATTCTTTCTGAAATGACGACAGAGAAAGATTTGAAAATGACGTCTTTGTGGAAGTTGTCTGTGATACTTTGGAAAAGAATCATAGCTAGGCGTCTCATTAAGGACTTATTGCCGAACGAGGTTGGAAACATATCCTGGGCGCATGTCTGATTAAGGATTGGATGATTTTGACCTTGAGATAAACGCAACATAAACATGTAAAAAATCTCTAGGGAAAATTCGGTAAGTTAGTAATATTTACATCAAAATGTAATCCAAGCTCACTAATGAAGTGCGTACAATTTCACATGTAGTTGGAGGACAAACAGTGAATGGTGGACTTTTCCAGCCTTTTTAAAATCCTGTTCTTGTAATAGAAACAAAGAGGTTTTCTTTAATTTCGTTAGTGCGCCCTCAAAGTTGATAAGCTGCTCAGGCTGAAGTGGAAACTGACGAATATTGATCGGTGCAGAGAAAGTTTAACTTCTGGGCTGGCCGCAAAGTGATAATACGGCGCTCCTGGAGTGCCATGCCACTTTCGAAGTTCCAAGATTCAAGATGTTTTATTATGTTCTTGAACAAGTCTCCAAACCGTTCCACCAAGGCCTACATGCCAAGTGGGATTATTCCAGCCGGTTTTGTCTTCTCCTTATAACTTGAAAAAAAAGGAAGTCTTCTTGTCTGATCATCTCAACTTGTGGGATATTACATCGGGCCTGTTAGTTTCACACGGATCTGGATTTCCATATCAGTGATCCCAAGGCTGGTTTGTGCCGTCCATTAGATGGGCTCTGGTGTCCAGCAACCAACTTCGGATCACTGATGACGATCCGAATCCACGTGAAACAAACAGGTACATTGACTGCTTTTTAAGTTTGACTTACACGGCACTGGTTGTTCTGTCGACAGGTCTCTTCTCGCACTCGTGTGCTGTTTGAATTGAAGGGATCCCTACAAGCCCTGGGCCCAAACTCCCCCCTCCCTTGGTCCGACAACCAGTAGCACTGGAAGCATTTTAAAGACACCGCATGTCCTGGTCAATAAAGGAAAGAGCGAATAATGTTATTAAGTTATTTATTTTACCTCTTCTGACAGTACAAATTGTAATGAAATGAACAGGGAGGTCAAGGGAAAAGTACGTCAAAAACACGCGTCAACAGTACAATTTGCAGGTGGGTGGTAACAGATTAGACGACAAAAAGAGGAATTGATCAAGATCGACTGATCGATTGTTAAAAAAAATGATTTTGTATCACAGGTACTAGTTTTTAAGTTTGCCTCGCATGCCTTCTTCTCATTTGGGCGATCTTGTTGCCATTTACGTAAGCACAAGCACGTAAGACTTAATTATGCCTATTGTGCTACCGTGCCAGGCAAGGGTGTAGACTCTGAGCATGGCAGGTGTGAATGGCGGGTGGCGCCCTCCCACCTGCTTTGAGACAAATAAGTAAAAGAAACTAAACTTTAAAATCTCTAAAGTGTGCACTGGTAAGTGCGCCAATACCATGCATGTCATGCAATGTTTCACCGTCGTTTCCATCATTCCACAAAAATGAGACATTAAAAAAAAGATCTCTGGCCTGAACCCCCGGAGAAATTCCTGAATCCGCGTATTTATGGGTCTGGGCTCCCCCCCACTATCTTGAAGGGGGTGTGTCCAATAGGATCATCCACCTTCTGAATGTTGCTTCCAAACACAAAACGTTCTATTTACTCACCGATGGCGAGGGTTAGGAGAAGGAATGCGATCGCTGGTATCCGCATCTTGACCGGGAAACTCTCTACAGTCAGAGATATAACAATAACAGAAGATGCCCCTGTATAACCAGCACATTTAAACGATTAAGCCATGTGAAATGAAGCACATCGTATAGACATTAACAACACGGAGGAAGCAATGGCAACGTGGCCTACATTCCCCCCGGCAAATGTTCTGATTGAGAGTAAAAAGCTTCACTAAGGGTAATCATTTTTACCTCGGAAGGGTACTTACGCTAAGCGTAATGGGAGGGAACGGGGTCAATTCCTGCTCGGCTTTTCATTCGCCTCTGTGGCAAAAACTTTTCTCTCAGTTCCTGATACCATACAAATGCCGCAGTCAAGGCTGATAATTATGCCTGTAAAGAACGAAGGAGCGTCGTGTTCCCACCTCCCGAGTAGTGGACCTACTGATATGTTTAGGTTTATGATATAGGTTTCTGTCCATTTGAAGTCATTTTTTTTCTTTTATAGCGTATTCGACACAAGATAGGCTACATGAAAGGTCGTTCTGATATTCGGCACATGCCGGACAACAACATGCAAAATCGTTTCCCCAAATATCGTCTAAGAAGACAAGATTTTATTTACCCTTACCTAGTTCCGACCGTGCCCCGAAAGAAAGAAACGGAGACTCTGCCAGGAGACTTCAATTCTCGACCCGTGTAAATGTAGTCTTCGCAAACGCTTCAGCCAGTGCAGTGGGCCGATCCCCGATATTTGGTTTTACGGCTTTTTCTTCAGCTGGTGTTCCTGTGACCGTTGGAGTGCCGTCCAAACAATAAGATGGCACCAAAGTCAACACGACTCTGTTTGGCTTCAACTTCAGATGCGCCATAAACCTGGAGTTGGATCGCTATGTCGCTGAATGGCACTCACAAAAGAAGACGTGTGTCCCCCCCCCGGTTGTGTCCAGGTAAATAGAACCCTTACACAAGAGGGCGCTACACATAAATCCTTAGTATTCAGGCAACTATCATTTACTTCTTGAATCCCCACCGGAGAATGACCGACGAGGAAGGCGAACGTTGTAATCCTGCATCCTTTCTCGCATGTCTGTCTGATTTCTACTCGGACATGATATCGAGTGGGTATCCGTAACTGAAATGAATCTGTAAAACGAGGCTGCCATTTCCACTTAGTTGTCATTTTTGGAGGGCTAAGATTTTTAAAATCATTCTTTTTTTGTCTTTGTCTCTGCATAGCATTGGAATTTCTCTATGCGTCTTGGAGTTCATGGTAAGCTTCGTACAAGTTTTTCTTTCATTTTTAGGATTTTCCACCTGTTCTTTAATTGATTGTCTGGTTTGTATCCCTCATTTTATCGTCTGTAATACCCCCTATGAAGAGGAAATAAATGTTACACGAATGAATGGAATATAAGAAACACAAGACACACAATAATTTCTTTTCAATGTTTACCATTTAAGCATGAAAACAAGTGGTACTACAGCGATTTTCCTGATCCAGTTGCAAGTATTATTATTTCAGTACTGTTTCGTAATAGGAAACATTTCAGACGCCACGCTGCTTATTAGACTGGTTGTCATGAGCCCTTAGTTCTAATCTCTCATGATTTGAACGCAGCCATTTATAGCAAATTAAATCATTAAAAACGTATGCTATTGTACATGGCAAGTTTCCCCGGGGATTTCTTGTGCTCAGGTGCCGGGTAAGTTTTGGTTTCATTCACGTCAACAGAGAAAAACATTACAAAGAAAAGTGAAAGTTCACGTCGGATGCAGACAATTATGCTCACACCACCTTTAAGGCACACAAGGAAGTATTATTTCTGTGTTATTCTCTGGGGCTCGCTGTGAGACGGTACCGGGAGTGATATTTGTAAAGACTCATCAGTGCTTGTTGACGGGGCGAGGTAAAGGTGATGATGCGTCGGGGATGTTCTCGGAAATTCAGGAAAGCGAAAACAACCGGAAACGCCCATGGTCCCTTAATGATTTCTGTTTTGTCTGTTTTTGTTTTGGGGGTTTGCTCGGAATTGCCTTGCCTATATCGCTATTTCTGTTTATTCATTTTTATATTCATTGAATATTCATTCATACTTATTTATTACATGGAACTTAATAGATTTTAAGTTCGTTCCTCGAATTAAACTTTGGGTTGATGGCGTCACTAGGATTGTGAAATGAAAGTTTCAAAGGAGTGGGTTTATTAATCTCGTAGTACCCTATGTAAATAGTTGAGTATATGTCTGAATTACTTTAGTTATATGCAGTCATAATGCACTTTGTTTGAACGTTTCACTTACAGCAGCCCAGGGAAAAGTGAAACTTTGAATCCGTAAGAATTTGGAACCAGCTCCCCGTTCTCGTTAAATATTAACAGTTCAAAAAAGTTATGATTTAAAAAATGAGATCAACATACATGTGCAAAACGTCAAACATATCGAATGATTATATGATGCTGTGTCTGGAAATTTACAGCGAATACGTCGCCCATAAGCACAAAGAGGAATTGCAATGCCCCTTTGTAGATTACCAGACATTCTAGTTTATGATTGAAAGTACTTTCCCTAAAGATTTACTGCATGGTGACAACCTTAAAACAGCGAGCATGGACAGTCTTGGAGATTCAAACAGTCGCGAAGAGAAAGTCAAGACCTGCTGCGCGTTTTAGCAGTTGCAATAGTAGAATGAAACAAAAGAGGAAACCCCGACACGCAAGTGATGCGAACGGTTTAGTTTAATTGACGTCAGCTGAGATCGAAACAGAAAGTCCAAATTACAGTTGTGTTCTAGCCTCGAACAGAACGTTTTTCCTTCGATAACGGAGGAACATTCCCAACGTTGCTCTGTCCTATCAAATGAAGGCATATTCGGTTGGCTGTGAGCGATAGCGGACGAATAAAGAACACTCTTGCCAGCTAGATAAAATCTGCTCCCGAAAAGGTATGATTCAGAAATGCTTTGTTCAGATTTTAAGTTGGATACGTGAGTTGAAACTTCTTGTTTTGGTAGTAAGCCTTGTCGTTATCACGAAAATCGAGAAGAGTCTCCATTGTTTCATAAATGAACCAGCTGATTTCCTTCTTCAACATCATACTTGTTCATACTCAATACTTTACTGACAAATCGATATCTAATTTAGTCTTTAGAGGTTTTAAGAACACGATCTTAACCGATTGTTATATCTAACTTTCTCACGAGAATAACTCTCGCTTCAAGGTGACATCTCTTTACAAATTTCTACAACCTCTATTTTGCTCAAACTCTAAGCCACTTGACGCAGCTCCGTTCCATTGTTAGTAGAAAGTTGCAGTTTGCCTGTGTCTCTCTGTGCTTTTCGACGATCACGTTTTTGCTCGTTTGTTTATGTCACGCACTGAGAGCACAAAATGCCGGAACATGAACTCTAGCAGTTTTCTGAAGTCCACCCACCTCCCCTTCTCCTCAAATCCATGGCAGTTTTATGAAGTAAAGATACTGCCAAAGAAAAGGGTTGAGCTGAGTATTAATATGAGGACTATTTTGTGGCACGGAAATTGATATTAACAATTATATTGAGTGGAAATGTTGTCACTCGCAGAACTGGGCAAAATCGCATCTTAACCCGCATTTAACGTTTTCGCAAAGAGAAAAAGTAGTCCCCCGTAGATAAAACGGTACCATTAAAGGGCAAAGCCATGGGCAAAGTCCGTTTTACCGTTCTAACGAAGAGACAAAAGTGACTCACGAGTCGTATACAAATGAAACTATGTGCACCTGGCACTCGCCAATACGGACCGTTCTCACGAAGTGACAGAATCCACCAAAAGTCTAGGGTTTTTGCGTTTTTTTGTTTGTTTACAACGTAAGCAATTTTCCTTGATTCCTATAAATATGGTTTAGTGTCATTTAAGAACTGATCTTTCACGAGGTGGCTTTTTTATAGTCAAGTTTAAGTCCTGGGGAAATAATCGTTTGCAAAAGAAACCAACTTTAAATGCGATTTTCTCGACACCTGGATTTTACTCTTCGGATAAAATTTTGTCTCATCGGAAAACGGTGATGATATGCTTAAAAATCACATTTAGTCTCAAGATTCAAGGTAAGTGAACAATGAGCAGCGACACTGGCATGTCTCAGAACTTTTAACAACTTCGAAAAAAACTTGATCACCAGCAATCCTAATCGGGGCGATTGGAGTGTCATCACTTGATTTACAATTCAAGATCTATGATTGGTTTGATTTAAATAAATCAATAAATCTTGCCTTTTTAACGGGAAAGTTTCCCATGGATGGAATAACTCTGTAAAGTCATCAAGTGGCCTTCAAGTTTTTTTGCTATAATATCACACACTCCCATCACTTTTCTGTTATTTCAGCTGTACATCCGTGGACACACTACAGACAAGAGCAAGAAAACAATGTCGGACTCGGCATCAGATGAATTCCGTAAGGCTTTCCTTATGTTAACCCCAAATATCACTACGTATAAATCAACCTCGAACCCACCATGTTCACACTTTATACTCCTACTGCCCCCTTTTCCTACAACACGTCCTTCTAAATGGCCTTAATCACGATTACCCCGGTCACATCCAACCAATAATAAGCATGAAACGATTGCTGCCTACAGAATTAACAGGCTGTTTGAAATGATTTACATTTCTACATGAAATGCTAAAAATTTTACCCACGTTTGCAATTTGAAGTAATTTACAATAACAAAGAAAATATCTAGGTCATGGAAACTGCGACAGCAGGATGTATTTTTCAGTGATTTACATACATTGCAAAGTGGGTAGTGTAAATTTTATATTCTTAGCATCTGTTACAGAAAACGGTGAATTAGATTTTGCGACCTGGGAAATAAATGTTTTGCATTGTCTCTAAAACTGACATTATGACTGCTCCTAAAAATAGGAAAACTGAAAATGTATGTACCATTTTGTTGGACGGTGAAAGTGTAAATAATTAGTCCTAAGTCGTCAGATTTTAAGAATGAAAGGTGGCTTTGAAAATGAAGAGAAATCTACTCGATTGAACAAATGTTATTTTGTTTTGTCTTGTCCCGATTTTGCCTTGTCCCGCGTTCTAATTTTTAATAATGTTGCAGATGTGAGGTAGATGCAATTGCCGACCGATTTTGCTTAGCAAAGCCACAGCTGTAAGCAATGAACGAACCAATTCGGTATTCCAACCAAATGAAGGACATCGGAGGTCATTCGGGAAGAGAAATACGCGCGCGCAAGCCTTAGCTAGCTTGGCTTTAATAATCACTGCAGCCGTGTGCACTGACGCGTGCTGATTATATTCGCTTCGTTCTCGAATGACATCGCCTTTATCAAAATACCGAACTGGCCCATTGCTTCATTTCAAGCCTGCTTGTTCCATGTAGCCTACAGTATCTTGAAAGAGAGGACATTGGAACAACTGGCAAAAGGAGAAAGGCCAGGAACGTTCTACGTTAGCACCGTAACCACTCCCCCCACCAACAGCCAGCCAAAAGGGAAGGAAGTCGCCCTTACTCTCATGCCCAGCGATACGACCGCTGCCGCAAATGGATTGGAAGACGAGGTAGTAAAGTGCCACCCCCCTTTCCCCAGAAGAGGGGGCTTCTTTTAGTGCATTCTCGACATAAAATGTCAACGATGCACTTTTTGTATTTGGTGTCCAGCGCCATTGTCGAGCAAACTACAGCACTTGTGGGTCCCAATTTTCCGAATGGGTTTGACCAAAAGCCAAGTCTTGTACTTATCCACGATTCTGAGCTCCGATAGGCACACGAAAAGTGCATTTTCCCTCGTCTTCATGTCACTGAAGCTATAAAATCTCTGCTTATGCCCCCTGATACATTGTTATTGGGCAAATGAAGACAAGGTCAGGTTCAACTGATCTAAGCAGAATCCCTCCTGTCTATAACACACTTTAAACCTATCGTCCAATGGCTATGAAAATGTCATCGTCTCTTCCCTCCTATACCTCTCTTTTGTAGTCGAAGCTAAATATTGAGGAGCCAGGTGCCGTGACCGGCTGTGAGGAGCCAAGATGCGAGATCATCATCCACACGTCGCAGGAGGACGACCTCAAGACGCTGTATGCTACCGACTACTTCACGTTTGCGCTCTTCGTCTTCCTCTGCTGCTTCCTCCCTTTTGGCGTCGCGGGACTCGTCAAAAATCACCAGGTACGGTTTTACAGACGTGGTAAGGACTGACAGTAAACACGCCACGTGGCAGATATTTTGTGTTAGAAATGCAGCAAGTGCATTTCTTGTGAGGCATCTCAGCAAATACGAGCACAGACAAAAAATACGACTGAGGTCACTTAAATACCATAATATAACTCCCGTCCTTTTGGCTCGTCTTGTTCTTCGAACAGTCGCGAGTGAAGGCGGTCGAAGGAGACTACGACGGGGCCGTGAAAGCGGCCAAGGAAGCCTTGAGGTACGCCACGGCCGGTTGCATCATTGGTACCGTCTGCTACCTGGGATTCGCTGCCTTCGGTTTGGCGGTAATGATCATGTCAGTGACGGGTGATGTGTATTAGCTTGGGAAATTGCACTGTGCTCTGGCTTGATATATCAATTTGTACACTGTCACTGCTTTGCAAATAAAAGAAAATCGCCTCATGTTTTCTAAGTGAAAAGACCTGAAAATGATCAATTTTGTTTCATCACCACAAGTCCAAAATCAATGGGACGTTGCTCTCAGTAGCTGATAAACAGCTGGTACCCCTATAATATATGTTAATATATGTTAATCTATTAATATATGAATCAGTACACATAATCTCTATTCTTTTACTAAGGGGTTGGAAGATGCGCCTTATACTTAAATAAATTTTAGTGCAAATATTTATCTTCACGATATCCTTAAAACAATGATAATTTCGCAATTTAGGAATGCATTAATTAACCCTAACAGTCCCGAATCCTTCACCTGTCGGAGGACTGAGGATTGTTAGGGTCAATAATTACATCGATCTGGATATCTTCCACCGATGATACTTTATGCATTGTAAAAAAACACACAAAATACAAGATCGAAATTGCGACCATTTGCAACTACAACCGAAAGCGCACCGATGAAATTCTTCAATAACAAAAGCAGATAACCTAGGCCTACTGATACTTAGGATTGAATTAATGATCTGCAATTTGACTACAATGGTAAACTGGAAACAAGGTTTTCGGACAGACAAACTTCTTGGTATGTTGTAACTATTATGTACCTATTCTTATCTCGTTGCCTTGATGGATTCTCGGATACTTTGCAATAATATGAGCAACATATTCTTGTAAAACCGACATAATTATGTGTCCTCTTTAAGAAAAGACGGGGTAATTTGAAAGTGCATAAGATTTACGTGCGTTTAAATTGACCTTTGTACCTCTAGGTCCATATGTGCGTTTCATTAACTTGCATACTCACAGTGAGTGTACAGGTATACATCTGCGTCGCTTATTAATTAATTTATCTTCAACTCCTGTTACCGCTGTCCTTGTTTCCTTAACTACAATCCAATTTCTAATCTGCATCAAAATACTGAAGAATAAACAGTTAGATATAATGATAAACTTCGCTTCTGTGGGAGTCTGTGCGTGCCTGTGTCCAACAACGCACCATGATAAACCGGCCCGGCAAAGGATATATCTATACTTCGTCGTGTGCCCGGCAGAAGGGCGTAAGCGCTTTATAGATCCTTTTGCCGGGCACCCAACGACTTATTTCGAAAGGATTCTAATTACCAGATGACTTTCCTTTTTTGAAATCCTGCATAACCTTGTTGGGTTCAGCATGGTTAGGGTTAATTCTGTGAACATGCTTGACAAAGTAGAAGACAAGAATGAGTCTTGAATTTCAGCTGACTAGCTTGCACGTTACTTTGAACTTGATCACCTGTATAAGGCGTTTTGAGTTCTCAGTCTTGTAGATGCTGTAAGTGATTTTCTGATTGGTATAGGCGATAGACAAATTCATCTTGTAGAACAGGTTTCCAGTAAGAAGGACAGTGGCGTAACATTGTGTCAGAAATTGGGGGATGGGGAGTGGTGGGGGGTAGGACTTATGACTTGCCTCGCCATAAAGATTTGAAAGGGGGGGCACCGTGTGACTCTATAAAGAGGTTGGTGCTCATGATACTGGTGCATGTCTTGCCAGGTAATGTGTGCTCAGAATGGCACATTTATGGCTTTTTAATTAAAAATTGTTTCTATCTTTTGGATGATACTGAATGCATTAGTCCTTGGAAGTCAGACAAAAATTTTCACAACCCACTTCGCTCCCCGCAGAAAAAAAGTGTGGGGAGTGATTCAATAGCCCACCTCCCCCTCAAAAGTGAGGAGATATATACCCCTATCCGACCGGGATTTACGCCTGTGGAGGAGCTTCGGTGACATCGCTTTGCACTAGCGTGGTAACAGGACTTCGTCTCATTGGCCATCTCAATCGTCTTGTTCAACAGGCAGAGGCACAGCCTACTAGGCACAGGTCCCGTGTTGAATGCTTCAGTGATAAACACCGCTGGCTCGGCCGTTGCTTACACAGGGGTTAACATGCCGTGCTCGATCGACGGAATCCCGGTCCCCATTGACCTTGTTTGGCAACAATGGGTCTGTTCTGTTTTCTTTGAAAAGGTTATCGTTTTACAGAGTGACTAGTCAGCGTAACCGATCGAAAAACAGGTTGACACAGGGTGATCAATTGTGTTTTTGTTTTTTTTTACTCAGACAGCAGAGTTGCTCAATGAATAATTCCATTTCGATTTCTCTCGGACACGTTGTGTTCTGGACTGCATTTTCCATTTCTCAATTCCTTTTCCTTGTATAATATTTATCCATTTATTCATTTACGATGAAAGGACAGGATTTACGATCATATCTGACTGAGATTTCGCTCATAATCCAGTGAAATGTTTGACATATTTAATGAAACAAAAGCTAGGAAACGACGTTCCTAGTAGCATCTGACCGATGCTTATTTTATATATTCAACTCAAAAAGAAATTACACTAGGCCTATATCTTGCTATCCAACACAGTATTGTGCTCGGAAAAAATGGAGAGGGTATAATCATATACAAAAGGGCACAGGCATGGGAGTCGAAAAGGGCACAGGCATGGGAGTCGAAAAGGGCACAGGCATGGGAGTCGAAAAGGGCAGAGGCATGGGAGTCGCGAGGGGAGGGCAAGAGGGGACACTTGCCTCTTTTGAAAAAAAAAATGGGGGAGCATTAAAAAAGTTGGAAAAAACGAGGTAGGAAATGGGATAAAAATCACGGATTTTCTTTTAATATATCGCTCCTCCCTCCTTTAATGGGTTGTCATAAATTATCAATTCCCATCTGCCGCCAGGTTAAGTTTTGTTCCATTGCAGGTCAAAAGTGGTTCCCCTGGAAAAAAATTCTGGCGACGCCCATGGACACAGGGTCCTTTCACTGTGGTATAAATGCTTTTAAACATTCGCTCCAGGCAAACCAGTGTGAACAAGGTCAGTCGGCCGCAGATTTATTCAATAGCAGTTCCACTGGTGATGACGTCAAACCACGTGATTTCCAATCTTGGCAAATGACAAAAGGTATGGGATAGGCTAATCATATTCTGCTGTACATGCACATACAATTGTGTATTAAAGTAGGATGAATTTGAATAGTTATAGGGAGAAAAAAGTAAACGTCGTCGGGTGCGTTCAGCACAACAAAGTTCGAGGTTGCTTGAAAGTGTCTACTGCTAGTGCAGCATGTCTGACAGAAACGCAGGTTGCCGTGGTCCTAGCTGGTGCCTTGTAAAATCCGCTTTTGTCTGTGGGTCGTTGGGTGACTGAGTTTATCCTGGGGTTTACATTTTTTAGGGAGACATGGAACCCACCGGACTGGATCCAACCGCCTCGTCTGAGAACCATTCTGTGAAGGGCAGCGACAAGATGTCCTTATACAGCAACTCGGGAAGTTCGTCGGTAGTGAGCGATGTGAAACTGCTGCGGAAGGTTTCTCTCCTCAATGCCGTGACGGTGATCGTGGGCTCCATCGTCGGCTCCGGTATCTTCATCTCCCCTGTGGGCGTGTTAGCCAACAGCGGCTCGGCGGGCTCGTCGGTCTTGATCTGGGCGGCTTGTGGAGCAATCTCCTTGGTGGGCGCGCTGTGCTACGCCGAGCTGGGTACGACGCTGTCCGAATCCGGTGGGGACTTCACCTACATCCGGACTGCTTTCGGCTCCCTGCCCGGCTTTCTGTATCTTTGGGTGACCATGATGGTGGCTTTTCCTAGTCAGCAGGCAATTATCGCCTTGACCTTTGCCAACTACGTGTCTCTGCCTTTCTACCCGGAACCAGAATGTCCCCCGTCGATCGAGTTGCGGAGCCTCCTAGCTGCTGTATGCCTAGGTGAGTAGCAATATATTGCAGCTAACTTGAGTTCTAGAAAGAGGCAGGTAGGAGCATTTTGTTCACTAAATGACAGGGCTTCGTTTAAAACAGTACAACAAACTGCACTACAAAACTCCGAAATCGATAGATGAGAAACAATTAGGCCTACTGACGATTCTGTAGGCAGTGGTGTACATGGGAGGGGTCGCAGGGAAGGCGGGATGTGCCCCAGAAGATGTCCGAGCCTCCCGGGTGTCCTCCATAAAGTATTGAAGTGAACACAACCGAACCTCCGAGTCCCCTGAAAGGGCACCCTCGGGGACAACAACTTATTTACCATTCCTGAACGTATAGCCCTGGCAAGAATTACCCAAGTGCCTAGATTTTGATGAATTATGCTCTAAGTATTGTTAATGAATATGCCTTACTGTAATATCCTGTCTCGCTAGCAGGAATTGATCTGGTAAATTTGGACCATGTTAATAATTATTCAGAATAAATAAATAAAGCCGAGTGTATATCAGTCCAGTGGTTCCTTATCATTATTTTTGATAACGGCTAGCTCCCTACCCTAAGAGAGACATTACATTCGTGGCAAGTGGTGGTTTGTGAACTAGAGCATGACTTTTAATTAAGTCACTTCAAACATCCCTCTGAGCGGATTTTGTGCTCGTTAGCTTTGAGCTCTCTCTTTCAGTCAGTGAAAATCAATCATCATCATGCCCGGCAAACAAAGCCAAAAGCCTCACAGATTGTAGTCATTGTATGCGGACCGGACATGACATACTGACCCCTGGCTTCAGGCAGAAGGTTCAGAAGTTCAAAAAAGTCAAACTAGAATTTGAACTCTTGAAGCTTCGTTCATTGGAGGCGGAGAAAGAGCTGAAACAACTCCGTTCAAATGCTGCGTCATGCCCACCCAAGGCTGAGCAGACAAATGCCAGGTTGTTTCAGCAAACCTCTCACAGGAGTCACGGGAAGTAACATCTACGCCAGACATCGTAGTCAACTCTACAGTGGCAGAGCAACCGAGCCTCATTCACCTCGAACACAGCCGAGTCATCGGCCGAATGTTCCTCATCCTCGTCAAGGAGAAATCGACGGTACAAATTCACGGGAGGGCTTCGTCTGACAACAGATGGGTCTCGCTAAGGCTTCAAGTTGTCGCTAGACCGAAGAAGAAACGCTGTTTCGGCTTCTGAGCAGTCTACGAGGAAAGGCAGCCGAGTACGTTTTCCAGTAACTTTCATCCCTAAGCCGTCAAGTCCTTCGACATCTTGGCGAAGGAGCTTGGCAAGTAGTTTGACGAACGCTATTTGCCAAACTACTACATCGCACAGCTTAAAACGGAAAAACATCAGTCCAAGAAGAAACGTATCAAGCTACCAGGGAGTACACTGTTCTTCGAAATCAATTTTCTGAGACCAAATTACGACTACCCAGCGATCGTTCTCAATTGGGCACCTTTGGGAACAACTACTCAAACCCATTCCCGAGCGTTTAGCTGTAACCCTTATTTCCTATCGATTTTTCCCAAGTAAACTGCTCAGAAATGGAACACCTTTATGCTGTGATTATTCATTTTGTAATGAATATCCCTTACAAATGATATCCAGTCTCACCAATAGAAGATGATAATTTTTATTATTTAGAATAAATTAGCTGTGTGCCAATCAGTCCACACCACAACTCACTACCCTACAATACACATACGAGAGACGTTACAGTAGCAATTCTATTGGTGGTGACTCAAACCACGTGATTTCCAATCTTGACTTATGACATAGAGTATTGGACAGGCTTATCATTTTCCACGGTAATGCACATATCATTGTGTGCGTAGGAAGAAAAGTAAACATCTTTGGGTGCGTTTAGTTTGACACTACAAAGTTCGTGCTTGCCTGGAAGTGTCTGTCGCAATCGCAGCACGTTTGACAGTAGCAAAGTTGCCGTGGTCCCTGGTGCCTTAATTGTTAAGCCTGCGTTGGGTGTTTGGGTGACTGAGTTTATCCTGGGGTTTAATTTTTTGCGAGACACGATACAGAAATAATTTACAAGCGTAGGGGGCCTAAGTAGACATGAAACCCAACGGACTGGATCCAACCGTCTCGTCTGAGAACCATTCTGTGAAGGGCAGCGACAAGATGTCCTTACACAGCGACTCGGGCAGTTCGTCAGTAGAGAGCGACGTGAAACTGCTCCGGAAGGTTACCCTCCTCAATGCCGTGACGGTGATCGTGGGCTCCATCGTCGGCTCCGGTATCTTCATCTCCCCTGTGGGCGTGTTAGTCAACAGCGGCTCGGCGGGCTCGTCGGTCTTGATCTGGGCGGCTTGTGGAGCCATGTCCTTGGTGGGTGCGCTGTGCTACGCCGAGCTGGGTACCACGCTGTCAGCATCCGGTGGGGACTTCACCTACATCCGGACTGCTTTCGGCTCCCTACCCGGCTTTTTGTATCTCTGGGTGACCATGATGGTGGCTTTTCCTAGTCAGCAGGCAATTATCGCCTTGACTTTTGCCAACTACGTGTCTCTGCCTTTCTACCTGGAACCAGAATGTCCCCCGTCGATCGAGTTGCGGAGCCTCCTAGCTGCTGTATGCCTAGGTGAGTCTCGAGCACGGCTAAAAGTTGAGTTCTGTGAAGAAAGAGATGAGTCGGGGCATTTTCTTTACTCACTCAATGACAGAGGTCACTTTTAAGCAAGACCAACTGCAGTACAAAACTCTTGAGACCGATAGATGAGAAATCATTACACACGATCCTGCAGATAGTGGTGGAAATGGAAGGGGCACAGGGTGGGTAACTTTGCCCCAGGCACTGTCTGAGCCCCCAGGTAGGTGCCCAACTTACGAGTCTCAAGTTACTATCTTCAATGCCCCCTTGAAAAATGTGCACACCCCACCCCAAAAACTTCACCCCACCCTGGTGCCTGTTGGTGATGTTGACTTCTTTGAATTCCCGCGACTCAATCTCGGATAGATGCCCCTATCTTCCGATATTTCACCTCTGACGCCAAACGAAATGCAGGTTTATGCTAACACCTGTATGGTGTCAAAACACTTGGATCATTTATTACAAGAAACTAAGTACAAGCTGCACTCCAAGGAACACTTCGTGCATACTCGAACTCAAGGAAACTTTTGTACCAGCTAATCGGCCAACGGGCTTGCCAGGTGTGGTTGGCATGTGGGAATATTATGCAATGGAATTTTTTATTCACAGGACACGAAATCAATTCACCTCTCGTGCTCTTGTCTCGGTTATACGAAAGTGTACTTATCCCAAGGTTACATGTTCCCATAAAATGTAACCTCCATAAGAAAAACAGAAACAAGAGGAAGAAAAATATCTCATATCCCCTTGGATACATTTGTCATGTTTGTTCTGTTCCCAGTTACGCTGACAATAATAAATGGCTTTAGTGTGCGCATGGCCACTCGGGTCCAGGATGTCTTTACGCTGGGGAAGATGTTGGCTCTGATTCTCATCATCGTCATGGGCATCATCGAACTCACCAAAGGTAAGCTGCCACTCCCTTTATTAGAAAAAAAAGTTTGGGACAGCTGTTTTTATGGCACGAAGATACATGAGTGTCGCTTAGAGAGAGGATCCCTTTCCGAACAGGAGCAGATGGGTAATCCACTGCGGATGGGGGTCAGGTCGGATTTTCCTCTTCATGGAAATTGGTGATTATCTTCTCCGTCTTGTTTATTTTCCCCTTGCCCCCTCCTGGTGACACATGTTTCGATGAGTGATGAATCTTTTTAGCCAACGTTGCCCCCCATTCGACTTATAAGTGAAGCCTGTGCAGCAAAACTGTCATGCAATAACTGTGATGCTATATATTCTCGTATGATGCAATACAGTAGGCAAACGTATAAGTGAGGCTAGTCAGCGTCACGAAAGTTTGCATGCACTAGCCAAGTTGGTCTACTGTATTGCATCATACGATATTATGTCAGCATCACAGCAGTTACTGCATGGCTAATTTTCTGCACGGGCCTCACTTATAAGTAGCGGTGGGTAGTCGGATCGGGTGCTTTGTGAATTCAGAGTCTTGAAATAGAGCTTACTGGTTATGGGGTCGAATGTTTGAAGCTGTACCATGTTTTCCTGGATTTGTTTAATTTTTTCCAGTCTGCAAGTTTACTTTAACCGAGTGCTGAAGTTGAAGCGAGGTAACAACTACATCTTAGGGATATTAATCAAATACAAAGTTGGCCTCCAATGGAGTTGGCTTAATAAACTTGCTGCTTAGCCTGTACGTGTACATGAAGACATTTAGCTTGTACGCGCTGTACAAATCTGTAAAGTCAGCCCATGACCCGCACTGAAGTATGTAAATAACCGCAATCATGGACCCGCATTTTTCTCCTTTTTGAGGGGCTACCTCAGAATTTGAACTCGATTGTCCAATCTGGGATCCTCAAACCTTTGGGGACCTGTTTGTCCTCTGCAAACAATTTAGTATAAAATTCACCGTAAAGCATACCTTCAGAAATCTCAAGTCCGTCATCTCAAAGTCGCGATATAATAGTTGGGAGCCCTTGAAACTTAAGCAATTGGCCCCAAATACCTGTCGACCGGTCAGCTAGAAACCACAAGCTCAGGTTCAGTGCACTATACCAATCGACAATCCATTTTCAAAACAACCGTTGTTTACCTGAGCGTGGAGAGCACGTTACCAATTGTGGAGTGCTCTAGGGATAGGGTAGAATCACGGCAACTCTTCAAGGGCGCGAGATAGCGGCTACGTTTTTTTTATCATGATGCAATACTTCGACGTAGCACGCAGACCTGATGATGGTTGTCAGGGACGGGAAGGGCAAACGCTGCTAAATGGACAGGGGTGAGAAATGCGTCCCTTTCCTTCTTGTGTGTACCGCATAATGGCGTAAATTTGTGCCTCAAACTGGGAATGGATGAGTTGCCAACTGAAGTTTGAACACCGTCATGACAGTTGGGGAGACGATACAGATGTACATCTACTCATGCCGAACCTTTTCATTAAAAAGGTGTCTTTATGGATTTTAAACAAATGGTTCTCCCTTTTTGAGTGCTATTGAATACCTTTTGGTAGTTGAGAACTCTGAAAAGATCTTCAAAATCTGCGTTAATTGTTTCTCACCACGAAGAGGGTTGATTCAATGGCCGATGCCCCTTTAAAAAAATGTGGGGGATGATGAACCCCCTCCCATTTACATGTACGATTACATAATCGTACATGGAAATGGGGGGTCATGTATATGTCAATTACACAAGCGGTTATGTTGTGAAATCAAAATGGCACGAGGGTTTCAATAATAGAAATCTTCCAAAATACGAGTAGATTCTATACACAAATGGCGGGCGCAAGAAGTTATTTCAACACTTCCAATTTTATATTATAGAAATATAAATCATTAATTCCCAATTACAAACTAAGCTGAGCAGTTTCGGGGAAATGGTTTTCACAGCATCTCGTCTTGTATCATGAATCCCTATTCCAACAAACAGGCACCACGACCAGTTTTCAGAACAGCTTCGACACCGTACCCGGACTGGAAGTATCGGCGTCAGGGATCGCTCAGGCCATCTACGCGGGACTCTTTGCCTACGGTGGCTGGTGGGTGACAAATTCCACTCCAAAAATCCACAGCATACAAGTACACGACGACATTTAATGCTGAAAAGGGAATTGTGACGAGAAAAAAAATTCTTATGACGAACATTCTTTTGCAGATAATACTTCACCCATTACGAAATTGCCCTCCTTGTAATGTTTTAATTTTCTGTGCTTTTGGTTCAAACAAAATACAGGAGCAACCTGAACTTCTTGACCGAGGAACTGCAAAATCCAAACAGGTGAAAAATATGGCACCGTAGTCAACGTAGTAATTTTTGATTTCACCAAATTAAACAAAAAACCACCGTGCATAAACCCTGGGTATTTCCGAGGAAATTGAATCACTTAGTGCAATATGGGTCATATTAGATGAAACACTTCAGCACGTCAATCACATAAATCTTTGGCCTCTCTTAATGAGTCGATTTTTTTTCGAAATTAGTGCAATACGAATGAGGTTTAGTGTCGTCTTCTGATGTCAGTTTCTAAATTCAGTGACAAGCAAAATGATTGCAAAACAATCGGATGTAACCATTCATTCAAATAACAGTGCAGTGATACCTTTTTTTGGGAAGGAATATGCCCCTGGCGATTATCATAGCTGTGCCCGTGGTTACCACCGTCTACGTCCTAGCCAACATCAGCTATTTGGCCGCCATGAGCCCTCAGGAGTTGTTAATTTCGCCTGCAGTAGCGCTGGTAAGTGTGTGCAGGCCTACATCACGTGTAACCAGTGGCAGTAACATTTTTTTCTTCACAACTTGAATTTCTGAAAAATTTATTTTGGCTAGTTGGTCCCCCCAAACGGAGTGTATCTTGACTTCCCGAAAGCTCGGAAACTTCACAAGGAATCGGTGCCATGATTGCTACAGAGATCGTGGACAGGGGTGTTAGTCGGGTGCACCTTGGGGCACAGAAACAAATGCGCAGTTGGTTGTACATCTTTAAAGTTTTTGTGAATATCAAAGGGGCATCAGAGTAGCCTACCCCTGCGCGCGCCCTAGATTCGTCAACTTGTTAAAGAACTATTACAAATGGGATTTTTTTCCCGACAATATGAATTGTCTTTACAGACGTTTGGGGAGAAGGTTTTGGGAGCAGCAGCTGTTATCATGCCCGTATCGGTCGCCCTGTCCACGTTCGGCGCAGTCAACGGAATGCTTATGGCAAGCTCACGGTAAGTATCTTGCAGTTATCTTTGAGATACATAAATATGCTCGTACCCTAGTAGTCATTCAGACGAACGTTTCAGCTTTACAGATAAGGGCTTCACACACCCTATTACATGTACTTTGTACTGTGGTCGATAGGATGAAAATCTGAATAATTGTATGCATTGTTAAAATTGCGTCATTTTCGATATTTTGAATCACGAATATCAAATCTACTGTTTCATTTCTAAAGTGACTTCGTCACAAAGGCAGACGAGCCACAATTTGCAGGCTTCCACTGGACGATCGCTGAAGTTGCGCGTTAACTTCCGGTTCCATGGTCCCATGCATCAATGCATGTGCAGAGCATGTGTAGCGGGCGTGGTGTAAACTGGTGACATCACACTTACGAACTGTATATACACTTTTCACATTTTCAGTGCAAGACTCTTCAAAACGGATTGATGCTGTTTGCTGAAACGCCACTTTACATTACCTGGAATACCTCGGCTTAAAATGTTGGCTAATGATGTTGATCATTTTTCCCTTTTCGGTTTGGGTTGTTTAGGCTTAGCTTTGTTGGTGCTCGTAGCGAGTCGCTCCCTCAGGTACTTGGAATGATTCATGTGGGACAAGAAACGCCCCTGGCAGCCCTCGCGTTTATGGTAAAGAAAATGACATTTCTTCATTACACAATCACACCGTGTATGGCTTTATTTTAAGTTTCAAATTTTCATGTAAATGTGATGAGCTGGGTCTAAATTTCCGAAGATGGAAATATTTCAGATAAATGTAAAGAAACCAAATTGTAAACAGATTCCAAAGTCTGTGTGTCAGTAAAAGCTCTTTGAATTACAAACACATCAGTGAAAGTTGAGCTTTCAATACACCATGCTTAACTTCTGTATCTTTTTCCCCGTCTTCCCCCGCAAGTGTTTCATGTCACTTATGTACCTCTTTGCGGCCGACATTGGACAGCTGCTAAACTACTTTAACTTCGTGTTCTGGACAGGCGTCGGTGTTTCCATCACTGGCATGTTATTCCTGCGTTGGAGAAGGCCTGATTTGGAGCGACCGTTGAAGGTAAGTGTGTGTGTGTGTGGGGGTGACTTGCCCGGCCATGGAAATTTGAAAAGTGGGGGGGCACCATATACACAATATAGGGGGCGATGTTTATGATAAAGATGTACATCTGTTATGTGTATCAAATTCATGCGGAATCTTGCATCAGAATGGCATATTTATGGCTTTTTAAAAAGCTTTCCCGTTTAACAGATATTGCAAACATTTTAGTCGTGAGGAAATCCTGAAAATTCTTTACTATCCGCTTTAATTTTGGGTTCATCGCCAAAAGTGTGTGTGAGGGGATGATTCAGTGCCCAGCCCCCACCTCACAAAGTGGGGTGTGTATATGTACCCCCATCCCCTGGGATTTACGCCCAATGCTCAAAGATCTATTTTGGTCCATCTTATACAGCTGGGGGGGGGGCGGATTCCGCCTCCCAAGAACTCGGCTGTGCCACACTCTTTACCATTACAAATGTGAAGTTTGAACTCGATTAGATGTATTGTTTTTTTGTTACGGTTAATTGAAGTTCAAGGCTACATGCGTGCCAGCCCGCCTGACCTGTCCAGAAAAATGCGCGCTGCGCAAGAACGGTATGTTCGATTTTCACAAAATTGGTGTCAAAATGACCGCAAAGATATACCTTAAAAATTCTCCAAGGCTCAGCTACCTAAAAGAAATGTCCCGGCAGTTTAATTGTTTCTTTTCCCAACGACATTGGGGCTTCAGAAGATTAATCTTATGGCCACACTACGAAGCTTAATTCGTCGATAGTATTAGAGAGTTTATCGGAGGGTACTGGGAATCATGAAAGTGGATTGCTTCTTCTTTGAGTAATAAAATTGCCCACTTTCCATATATAGTGGTAGAAAAACTGTCTGTTCTTATAAGTGGCAGAGCTTCAGATCAACAATGACTGGGTGTTCAGATCAATGCTGAGACTGTTTCTATTATTCATGACTTGGGATGTATCTGAGGATTACGTGCATCATGAAGTCTTCTTTCTCTTCAAAGACATTCATTGGTTTGCATTGTCTTGTAGGTCCCTTGGATCTTACCAGTCATATTCGTTCTAGTGTGCATCTTTCTAGTTGTGTTTGGCACCATCGGGCAACCCATGGACACGCTGATTGGCCTGTGCATCTCACTCACTGGGGTACCTGTCTACTTCTTTGGAGTCTACTGGACCAGCAAGCCCAAATGGCTTCTGGGGTTAATAGGTGAGGACTTGAAGCTACTTTTATACGGGCTCCTTGCGTGAGCACAAGAGGGCACTGTTTAATATCTGTCCAGCGGACTGTTCTCAAAGGAAGATGGAGTAATACAGCTTTGCAGGGGAAATGTTAAAAATGACCCAAACATTCATGTACGGTATTCATTTTTAATCAACCATTTTCGAGTGGCTAAAAAAGCGTTTGTAAAAGAGGGGAAAAATCACGACCAGATTTACCGCTTCCGTAAAAAAAAGTTATTCTGCTTTTGTTTCGTTTACTTTTTTTAAAATTAGCAGTGGTTGTGGGCAAAATAATCTACAATTACATTCTGAATCATCCTCCCGACTTCAATTCAAACTGCACATTTTCCACACAGAAATGTGAAAGCTGGGAGAGTGTGTGTGTTAAGATCGAGTAGGCCTCCATTTTGAATGTTATGGCTATGATATTCCACATTTCATATTTACTGACGTGGGATGCTGTGCTGCTTTGTTACCTAGACGCAGCCACCGTGGCGATCCAGAGGACGCTCCTCCTTGCACCTGAGCACACCTCAAAAAGCGACTGAAAATTTACTCACGGAGTTGGCTCGACCTTGCCATTAAGGTTCCGGCACCATCTTTGGAGAGCTCAGTTTGGCATGCCGGACTTTGATCCCGAGTCTTGCTTTCTGTTGGCCTACCTCCTCCCAACCAGATATCCCCGAGAAATAAACACGCCATCATTGATTATGCCCAATGTAGGTTTAGATGTACATGTACGCCTACACCATAGCCTTCCCTTTAACTCCATAGAAGCCTGTATATCATGAACACCATTATGTATATAATGGCTTTTTATGAGACATATTCATTTACTAAGCCATTTGCGAGTTACATTTAAATAAAATCTGGTACACTGAGTCATGTGATTGCACATGAATTCTCAGACTAATGACACTGCTGCTATACCTCGTGATTTGGGGCAAACTTTTGCATAGCGACCATCATCTCTGGAATGGACTGGTTCCTTTTTCCCTTCTAATTCATTGAGAACAGGGTAGGCGGCGTCTCGTATGTAACTAAGTCAAAGCTTGCCCCGAATCACGAGGTATATATAGCAAGGGTATTTTTAGTATGGAGAATTCAAATTGTTATGTTCACATGAATTTAAAGAAGTCAGTGTACCAGATTCTGTTCTAATTTAGCGCGTGAAAGGCATGGGCCGTTTTCCAATACTCAACTTCGTCTCCGTCTCAGGCTTAGTTCCCAAAACCTATCCCCAGTTGCGCGCCTGAAGCGTTTAGATTACATTGGATTACTGTAATTTTTGGCTTTCTTGCATCTTATTTGATCTTCTGTGGCACTATTAGACTGATTCCTGCGCTTACAGCTTCAAAGCCAGCTAGTAAAAAACAGCTAGTTGAAGCCCAAGACGGAGCCGAAGTTGAGTATTGGAAAACGGCCATGATTGATTTGTGTGCGGCGTATAGCCGACGCCTATAACGAATGTTCGTCCGCACAATTAACTTAATAGTACGCTACAGTCTACAACGTGAAACCTTGGAAGACGCTTTTTAATGCCGACTTCGAAAGTTAATTCGATGGAATAGTGATATAAAATGACTTGGTACAATGTCTCAGTCTAGTTTGGTTAGTTTTAGAACTAAGTTTGAAATATTCTGTCGCGGAAGGATATTGTAGTACAGTGTGTATTAGTAAACATTGCAGTTATAGTGTAGCCGCCATTTTCTCCACAATTTGTCGTAATGGTACCGTAACATCGAAGTTTTATCGTTGCGTTGCCCGGAGAACGTCGACCAGAAAGCTAGCATATCGGAGTGATATGCTTTGCCACAAGGGCAGGAGAAGTAAGTTTGATTGTTTTACATTTAGATGGGGTGGCTGGTGATTTGTATTTCTCAATAATATCTCTGCACACACAGGGCAAAGTTTCCTGACTGCGACGCTTGAAATGTCTGTATATAATGTCCACACGGCTGGTCGACATAATAAGCTATTGTTAACAAACACATTGACTCGGTCCGTACTGATCATTGCCATGTACGTGTAAATGTATATTGCGTCGAGAATGATGTATCATCGCCGTGATGCAGGCTTAATTGGTAATTTGTTTCTTGACGTTATGTTTTTGTTGTGTTTGAGCTAGAGTTATCCTTCACATCGCACAATTCTATAGTAAATATGATAGCTTCAAATGTTGGTGTAGACTGTCTTCTTTAATTTGGTAAAAGTTTTCACCAAAAGATATCCCTCTTGTAAAATGAATGTCCCTAAAAATTGGGTGCTAAGATAAAACTGGCTGATATAGTTTCTGAAGTAAGTATGTCCCAGATAACTTAATTTCTCTCACTGGTAGTGATATACAAAACAATTAGGAGGAATTTTGAGTGGTGTATTGATCGAACAATTGTGCTCCGATTTAGGTCTTAAAAATAAAAATGCAAACATATTTTTGAAGCGATCCTAAACTAGTTTGGGCCATGGCTAGCATAATAGTTTTATGTGTTGAAGCAGAAATCAGGTGAGATGTTCATGTTATTTAAATGAATGCGTGTGAGACATTAATTTAAATGCCGCATTTTCCAGGAGTTAGGACACAGCGAGGACTAGGCCTATGTGGAGTGCTGGTGATCGTTGTTGGCACCTTTTATCTTGCCACGGTCAGTGTCCCATGCACAGGCGCTACAAATTGGAACGAGAACAACGAGACGTGTTACAAGTTCTTGTAACACTTATGTAACTTGAATGTAACTTGGGATCAGGCGTAACTGCTAGGTGCCCGATGCCGATCCGGTTACAATTTCCTTGGACGGGGAGCTAAATGTAGACGGGGCATACATTTGCATTTGCACGCACAGACCTTGGCCGGCTGCGTCAAGAAGTACCGTACTTGATCTGACTCAAAGACCGCAAGAGCAAGCAGACCTTCCCGCTGGGTTGACGCATACGGCACCAACCACCGCCGAGGGGGCCCAACAACATGTTTGGCGTTGGTTTAAAACCTTAATGGTTATTATACAAGGATGATCTCAAGTCGTACTTTTCTTTTTGCAATCTTAAACCTTTCAGTCTGTCTAATGTTCATGTTCCTAAGCTTTGCTTCCCCCCGAACTGGTTCAACATTGACAGTGAAATTGGTACTCGAAAAGTACACGACTACAACACCTGACCAGTTCTTGGTATAAGGCAAAAGAAAAACAAAACGCTTCCTACCTCCCTTGTGTCTACACCCTCGCTGTCACTTACCTCTAAGAGGAAATAAACGTGCACACGAGTCTAGTCGCTGCTGAATTCAATGACTTTATTCTAATTATGACTATGTCTTCAAGCCTACGTTTTGGGGAAAAAATGGGATGACTGCAAGAATCCTATTGTCGGAAAAAAACGGATGAGGAGTTTTATTCGAGAAGATACACTTTGCGTATGTTAAATCGGTCGTTTCAACAGGAAGTGAAGAGGAAAATTATGAAACAGGAATTAACAGAACCATAAGTGATCATGATATCCAGTTTCAAGTAATCATCGTTGGTTGATGTCACTCTCGATCGAAGAAAAGTTACCTAAGATTATTTAAAAACAAACAAATATCAATAAGTAGTATGACTTCAGTTACATGGAGATTTTGAGCATGTTAAATTTTGATCAGAAAATAAAGATCCCACGCTTGGAAACAGATGTATTTAAGGGTAGGCCTGATGTGTCAGAGATCTCATTGACGCCACAGCCAAAAAGATCCAGATCTAGCTAACTTGCACCTCACACACGAAACAGCGCTTCGTGTTGCAGTCTTCGTCGTTCCATTTGCCCTTGTCGTAGTCCATTTCGACGCAGTCTTCACCAAACTGGTTGTTGGGCTCCAGGAATGCCCAGTTGCGGTAATTCCCGCTTTCCCCGGTGTCGTTCCACTCGAAGACGAACTCATGGTTCCGGTCGTTCAAGCCTATCCAGTAGGGGTTCTTGCTTAACAAGCCGCAGCTGAACAAGGGCGGCTTATAGTGCACCATGGAGTGTACAAAGGCTTTCTTTTCCTCGGACTCGATAATGACCAAGTCGCCACCGGGGTTTTGGAAGCCACACTGTTTCCTGAAATGAAAGAGAGTGGCTTTACAAATAGCACAATCTTTGGACGGGATATCTTACTTTTCAAGATTTACTAACCCCCATTTTTCAGAATGTTGTTGTTCAACAGAGAGGGGACGTTTGTACGTGAACATTAATTTTAGCACGATAGTATACCGAATCGCACCCTTAGCCCTAAATCAAAATGGGATGACAAAGTCCTTTGTCAAAAGGGCAGAGTAAATCACGCCAATGACGGTTGAGAGTGTAGATTTAGAATTCGAATGCTGTTAATTTACTTCTTTTGAAGACCCGTCTGTTTCAGAAACGTAATGAACTGAAGGCGCGTTTTAGAAACGTTTAGTGGATTTCAGTCACAGTCTAGGACGGCAAACTCGTGAAATTTAGCAAATGCACGAGATTTAAATAACTATTCACTCCATTGCAGGATAAAAAGGCAGGGGTAGACAAGAAAGTTAACATTATAAGAGTAGACCTACGTGTAGACCTACATGTTTTTCAAACATCATTAACTGCGTAATTTGTAAAAAAAAAAAAAACTTTTGGTTGTCTGATCTAAGTTGGAACATGGCTCTATGATCCTAAGGACAAAGAGATTCGGTTCAAATGTTTACCTCGCTTCCAGCCAACGCTCTGGTCTTGTGAAGAGCATCAAGCACTTGGTGTTGTTATACATAAACCAGTTTCTCGGACACTTCGGGCCCGTCTCGCCCCATGCTAGCACCGTGCTTACCAGCAGCAGCAACGACGCGGTTACCAGTACAATCTTCATCGTTCACCGTGTGATATCGACAGTGACCGTTGGGCGGAAATGAGTAGCGTAGCGCCGATGGCAGGTTTTAGTACCCAGTTCCCCTCCCCAGAACGAAACCAACCCCGGACATTGCTATCTTGTCGTCACGGTGACGTCGTCAGCTCATTAAAGGTTCGTGATAGTGCGAGATAGCTGACGTGCACACGCCGTGGAAGTGCTCTAGATACAAGTGTCTGACATTTTTGATGCGAGTGCCAATCACCTTTTGTACGTGTCATATTTTTGTCGACTTCACCATACGGAGCATTCATCAGCAAGGTTTCTTAACTTGCTGTTCATGCGCAGTTGGAAGTGGTACCTCGTATTATCCTACGGGCAAAAAGAAGAAAAAAAATTCATGCCAAAAAACCTTGCAACAAAGCAGAGGATAATGGAGTCAGCATCTAAACACCTCCGGCCGTCGGCTGTTTTAAATATGAAAACAATTGACATAATTAATCTTTTACCTATCACATTTGTGAGACCTCATTAAGATGATTGATTGACTTCTGAGGTTGTGATAAAAGTGTAGGTTATCGGGTCGCCGTCCATAGAAGTACTCACGGAGTTGAGAGTTAATGTAGATACCGAGATCAGTTTTTGAACAAAATGCTGTGGGATTATTCCCAATCTACAACACCTGTTTAGTTTTTTAGGTGTCTTTGAAGTTAAAATGGGACTAAAGCTTTATTATAGTTTGCATCAAATAGTTTCCCTACTGTATCGTTCTCTGTTAAGGCGTCTGTAGTGCCGATTATGTCATTACTTACGGTACCAATTTTGAGCTTTATTTTGGTCCCCGAGTGTAATGATGATTAAAGGTAAGGCAAATGGAAACAAAGATAATTTTCGCCATAGTTGTGGGATAAACGTTCAGTACTTCTTGAATAGTTTCCTCGCGGTATCATTTTCCTCAATGAAAAGGTCGGGTCTTGCTACAGGAGCAATTGAAGTATTTTTGAAAAGTTCCAACATAGCACGTGCACATGCCGTTTGGACGTCAGGAAAACGCAAAGCCTGCAACATTTTGTTCACTCCACACGCTGGGGAAATCTGACTTAAATAAAGCCTAAGCTAAAACCGTGGCTCTGGAGGATTTTTTTTTCGAAACGAAACCCGACATTTCGATACGGGAAGTTTCACACGGCAAGACCGTCAATATCGCCCCGAGAGCGACTTTGACGGATACGCAACGCTTGACGTGTGTTGACGCGCATGTGCAAAGGCGTCTTAACTCTTAAAAGTTGGATTCTGAGAAATGTGCCACGACACCAGACTGTCATGACCGTCCACCTGCAAAGTCACAAGTTGGGCTTAGGCTTAGGTATATACATGTAGGTAGATAAAATGACCACGAGACAGAGATGAAGGATTAATTCATCAAATCTCTCTACCAACTGGCGTGATCTTTTTTATTCAATTTAACCAATAAGTGATTGGTGTTACATCAATCGTTACAAAGACACAAACGGTTTGCTTGTTTCGACTGCAAGCGATACACTCACCAGTAGCACTTGATTACCAAACACTGATATTTGAACTTTAGACGAGGTACGATTTACACACCATGCACTGACGAAACACTAAGAGTCTGTTACCATGGAAATGGATATAGATCATGAAAATACGCACCACTATTCAGAACACATCGACCTTGCATGCAGTGTTTGTACATGGAGGCCCACTGGAAAGGCCGCTGTCTCGTCAATATAACTACATGTAGCTTGATGTACAATCACGGATGTCTTATTTTGAGAATGCTTCGTGCATGTTGACATAATCAACATTGCTACAACGCCAAAGCGACACCTTTCAAACTGCAAGCACGGAACATCCCGCACCATTTGACACATTACAATACGGGTCACTTCAAAAACCTCAGAGGCTTCCCGAGTTAATATCACAAAGAAAGAAATCTGTAAGTGAAATATCAGGATATATCTACCGATTGTGTCTTCTACGGTGAGATGTCTTTGAGATATGTTGGTAACATTGGAACTGTTATGGGTATATTGGAAGTGTTTGGTTGTGGTCGGAGTTTATACAACCTGGAAATACCACTGTTTCTCAACCTGTGTAGTGAGATGTCAACCATTATGAAAAGAAAGGGCATTCAAAATGCGGTCCAAGACAAAGTGGGAAACCTAGACAAAAGGTTTGCTATTTTTGATTTGCCATTGTAAAAAGCACCACTTGCTTCGTCTGCATCACTGTCAAAATGCGCTCTAATTCAGTTTACATATTATTCTGAAACGTCTATATATTACACTGCTTATCATTTTTTTTATTCTGAACGTGCAAGCAATTCCTCACTACCAGAACACTCAGTCTTTCCAAACACACAACTCTTTCTGCTCCCATTACTTTAAGGCCACCTTACGTAATGAGCCAAGTCGGTAATCAAACAGTGCATGCCCAGTGCGAGGCCATTCGGGAACAGCTATGCGCGCGCGCAATAGTCTCCCCTATCAGCGTAGCCATACGCTGACTCACGCGCGCGCGTTTTGTTCCCGAAAGGCCTTGGCTTCTTGAAATACCGAACTGGCTTCTTGACACTGATAACGTTATAGAAATAAGTACCACGGAATTTTTCAATGTACATGCTAAATTTTTGACAAATCTATGAGCAAGCTAACTGACTTGCTTGTGAGGGGGACTTCTATTAACCTGCCCCAAAACTGCCGATTTAAACCTGTGTTAAAGCATGGGAGGGATAGCGACCTGAACCTGTGTATGAAGATATACCTCAACATGGTTCACCTGATGCGAACCGATCACCACGCAATGCCCATTCACTGTAATCCCGCATGTGGCATGCATAGCCTACTTACATTACAGGGTAGTGAAGGCCCCTTGACCGCGCTACGTAGTGCAAACTTCTGTGTCAATACATTAGCCACGATGAAAAACATGGTAGGCTCCAGGCTAAACGCATAAGCTAATCGGAGAGCGCTTGGTTGGAAAGCACAGCTTGGACTCAGACGTGGTCACAATATAACTGTGCGGCGAGCGCTCGTGGTTAATTAGAATATACATATAAACCATAGAAACAATCTAGTTTAGAAAATATGGACCTTTGGTCTAATTACCATCACAACTCACAAGCTGATATTCAAGAGATTCATTTCAGACACATCACTTCAAAGCTGCTACACGAATTAATACACATTTTGGAAGAACAGTAAAATCTCAGAGAGAAGTAGCACGGCCTAGCAGAAATTTAAAAATCAAACTAGAGGCCTCATCATATAATTATACACGACCAAAGCCTGAGTCATTGGGCCCACATTATAACGTCTGCACCTTTTTGTCCTCTCCAAGCGTAGCGCCAAGTGCTTGGTACACAAACACATACACTGCAAAAACGGTGGTGTTAAATTAACACAGTGTGGTGTAACACTGAAAGGGTTTAACCAGAGGTGCGAGTGGCCATGCTGATGCTGGCCAAGCTGCGAACAGCAAGCAAAAAGCTGAAATGTAAGAAGTCCCTTACGTTTGTACACAGCAGGAGCACCAAAAAAGCCGAAATTGGAGGTCAACGTCTAAACAAAAAATGCTGAAATCAGCTAAAAAGCTGCATTTGCACACCTCTGTTTAATGTAAACACCACACGGTGCTGTTTCAACGCCACTTTTTGCCGAGTAAATGTGACGCTCTGCACGGTGATGATAAAGTCTCAGACCTTCAGCAAATAATATCTTTAACAGAAACAATTATGTACATAAAACACTTGTTTTTAAAACTCCAAAAAATGGGGGGAAATCACACATTGACACACGCTAATAGTGCTCTCAGCTTCTACTGTGCATTGCTTTCTGAATTGCATACAGGTGACATGCGACTACGTCTACTAAATTTTTGTGCTACAAATCAGTAATATATTCGGAATTAAAAAAAAAAGGTTTTGTTATTTGGTTCAATTTCCTCACCTCTAAGCTACAAAAATACTTCCATTATCCTGCTGTTGTTTGTTCCTCGTAAAATTTGCTTATGTGTTCTCTACAGTCACGAAAAAGATCCCTGACGGAAGGAACACGAGACATCAAATTCACTAAGTCAAAATACGGTATCTAAATGAGTGTCAGACTTGAAGGTAGAAGCAGTCTGGACCTATGAAAGAACACTCCATCGGGGCAGAAAGTATTCTAGCGTGAAGAGCATCAGTTCAAAACTTCTTTCTCGGCAGTTTTTTTCCTTTCAGTGATAAAAATGACACAGTAGCAAATTACATATGGCAAGAAAATGGATTATCAAAAAAACCATCGAAGGGAAAACCCTGAGGTTTTCCAGGCTTGTTCATAGTTCCAAATTCTATAGAGACACATGTATGTTACATTTGCAATAAAGGACCACACAGAGCTAAGTACCGGTAAGTAGGTTTCCTGTTAACGACCGCAGCTTTCATACTACCTAATGACGGGGACGTGTGTCTACTGCGCCTAGGTGCGTGCGTGCATGCATGCATGCAATAAGATTTTGTGCTAATCAGACTGAAAAATAGCCCAGTGCACTGTGCCATGAATATGTACAATGTATCACTCTGATGGCTTCAGTAGTTTGGTAACCACTTTTAAATTGATAACACCTTTTGCACCTGTGTCCTACAAATCTGGACTGTGATGGAAGGGGTATTGTGTGTGGTGAGTGGGGAGTTTTACCGTGATTAGTTCCGCTACAACACTGATCAGCCTCAGTTAACAAAGCTTGTATGTATCTCTTTGCGTAGGTTAACCCTCCTAGTCAGCTGGCCAGGATATTCTGTGTTAAGCAACGCCAATCTTGTGAAGCTGATGACGAGCTCACAAGATCTACTAAAAGGGAAACTCTTTGCCAAACAAACTGCAGGTCTGTCATTCAGAACGACTTCCACAAATGTGTAACTGCCTAAGTAAGACACCCCAACAGGTGCCTCTGGAATATCTAGGGCACATACAGATGGGTACTTGATGTTAATTTTGTGTGTGCATGGGATCTGGTAGTAGACTATGTGAAGTCTACGGTAGTGAAAGGGTTGTGGAAAACCTTTGTAAGATTTTATGCAAGGGACCCATATTTGCTAATAAAGCACACAAATTGTCCTGAGCGGAAAAAATTTTATTCAGCAGAAACACACTTCAACAAAAACTTTTTAACTTTAATCCCGGACTGGTACTGATCCTCTTTCAGGGTCTATTAGTAAGCAATCCTTTTTCCTGCCTAGCTACTTTATGCATCTTGATCAAGAAATGATCTTGATCAAGAAATGACCGGGATCAGATCACCTCCATCAGCACTATCATATACATGTCACCTCTGAAGAGGGAATGGACTGTCTATTAAAGTTTGCAGGTTTACAACAAGGTTCACTACAGCTGTGCTATCGTGCTATCTGAAATGGTTGCTATGGAGCAGGTTCCTCCTTAAAACTGGATGCTAGAGATGCCCCCCGGTGGCGCCAGAGGCTTGTGGGCTGCTCGATGTGGAACGTTGTCATCGATCTGCCGTCCTGAGAAACATGAAACCATTTCCAAATAAGACTGAGTCAATCTGGAACAGAAAGAGTCTAAAGGCTATTTTCGCAGTAATTTTTTTCTAGTATGGATCAGAAAGAGCAAACTGAGCTCTGTAGGGCCAGTTTGAGCGACGACTATAGCTAACTATAGTTCAACTAAAACCCGCCAATAGATGGTTTGGACTATATCAAGTCAACCATTTAAGACCAGGCTCAGGGGTACGGACACACCACTGGTTATCAACAGCCAATTTCATTTATTATTATAGAGGGAACCATTCATATGAAAATTACTGTACGAGATTTCAGCTACCAAGTGCGCGGCGAGTATTGCAGCCAAAGATGAAATGTGACTTTATGTGAATAACGATGAGATTTAAAAAAATTGACCGACTGGGTCGTTCGAGTGGAACTGAATTAAGCATGCGCATTGGTCAAAACCAACTGACTACTGGTCGAACTATCCGCCCCGAGTTAAAGTGCAATCCCAAGTGGCAAAAGAAAGACAGATGGTTGTAAGTTTTCCAAGCAGGTTCTTGCACGCGTTCCACGTGTACGCAGAGACCGTACATTAATCAAGGGATAAATTCGTTACACGTACTCAGCGTGCTGCGTCAAATGCACCATTTGATCTCCATTATAAACGTGCCCCTCTGCCTTGAGTACCAAAAAAACACACCCTCTTTTGTTCTGCTCAGAGCGGATAGTTCACACCTCAACTTGCCCTTTGACGTATCACTCAGTGCCGCATCCTGATGAAACTGAACTTTATGTGAGTGAAAGGAATTAAGGGGTGTCCATTGACCAAGATTCCTTTCAAGATCTTTACTCCAAAAAAGACTCAGGGGACTTCGGACTCGTTAGGCTAGGTCACAAATGATCATCATGGGAATTTACCGGAGAGGCTGAAGCCAGACCGATGCAGGTCCCTACTCCCTGCCTTGGTGGCAGGGATGTTGCGATTGGCAAACTCTTCGGCCGGGGCCACGGGGACGTTCCTGGGGATATTGGTCTGCTTCTTGGGGCCTTCCGGTGTCCAGACGGGACCGTCGTAGGGCTCACGTTCTACCTTGATGGGCTGGTTGACCTGAAAAAGATACGGGGTTGATTTGTAGGATCTTGCTCACTTGACAGTCTCTGAGAATGCACTTCAATTTCCTGCAGCTTGCGCAAGTGTCCACCCTTTTTGTAAAAATCGGTCACCGTACAGTTTTCGAGAAGAGATCCAGTCTTGGTCTCTGCATGACTAGATTAATCGCAGTCTTACCCTATCGCGGATCAAGATCCTGTTGTAGGCTTCGGGGGCATGCAGCGGGCGGGGAATAAAACGGCCAGCTCCTTGTGTCACGTGGAGCTGTGAAGGGAGATGTGAATACAGAAACAAGACTTGAAATATGAAGTGGGTTACTGTCACTGTTTGGCAGAGCACCAACGTTTCTCTCGTCATCTTGGTTAGATTCACCTAACTGTCAGTACCATACACATCACTATTTTGAAGAAGTAATGTTTCTTTGATGTGCTCTGAAGATTTTAAAAACCCTGCATTTTCGTTTCCTTCTCCTAACAAACAATTCTCCTGAAGAGTCAAACCAAGGGTATTCAAAGCAATATGAAAGTGTCAGCAGCATTTTTCAATTTCTAAATGGCATACGTAGAAAGTGAAATAGAGTAGATGAACTCATGTGCGCTAACCTTACATACCTAGTGTGGACTGGTGAACAAAAGATGTCCACACTATGCAGGAAGGGAAGACGTTCTGTGGACTTACCCACGTCCACAGGACGTTTCCCCTTCCCTGAAAAAGAAAATTAGAGGCATGTTGGAGTTAGGGTTATCTGTTATAAAAAGAAAAAGAACAGTCAAAGAAACATTTCATAGAAATCCAGCTGAAAAACTTGTTTCCAGTTCAAGAGAAATGAGCTTTTTCACCGAGTTTTCTCAACTGCAAGAAAACAAAGGAATGTCCACTTTAGGTATGTAACATGCACGTGGAGAAACATGTGCCTGAGGATAACTGGTTTGGATGAGTGGTCAGTCTCTTTGGACAAATGCTGACCTACCTCTCCGTCCTCCCAGACTATCCGTCCCTGGCTGATGGTGATGACAGGGACACCGTGGCACTCCATGCCCTCGAAGATGTTGAAGTCCACAGCCTGTTTGCAAAAAGGGGACAAAATTGTAAAGGTCGGTAAAGTTCTCTACAGATCAACGGCAGTGGTCAGTGGGAATGGACAGGCTGAGTGGCGAGTGGGCAGTGTTCTTACCTGGTGGTGTGTATTTTTGGAGATGACTCGGGTGGCCTCGGGATCCCAGATGACGATATCAGCATCGGCCCCGACTTGGATGACACCCTGAATGCAATCAGCATGATGGCAAGAGGTCAAAATTATTCCACCTTACAGGAGAAAAGAGCTAAAATGCACTCCAGAATCTTGACACAATACGTTACAATATCCGCCCCGAGCAGAACAAAAGAGGGCATGTTTTTTGGTACAGGCGCGCATTTATGATGGAGATCAATGGCGCGTTTGACGTGGAGCACACTGAGTAGGCGTAATGAATTTATTCCTTAATGTATGGTCTTTGCATAAACGCAGAACGCGTACAAGAACCCGCTTGGAAAACTTATGACCATCCGTCTTTCTTTTGCCGCTTGGGGGTGCACTTCAACTCGGGGCAGATAGACTTAACAACTTTTGACACTTAAATCAAACTGTCATCAAGGCCGTGTCTGAAACGGGCTTCCAGAGCTACGGCTAAGTCTATTGTCTGCGTGTCTCCACACATTTCCAATGGAGCGAAGACCTAGACCTAGCTCTAGACAACAGATTCGGATGCAGCCCAAGCATACAGTATATGCACTCAAGTTACACCTCTTGGGCACCATCTTGAATATCTTTGGCTTGAATTCTTTCCTCCAGTGGTATTTGGATGTCCACTGAAACTCAAGTCTTCAGAGTGCTGAATTTAGGAGCAATGTAGGAGATTATCTTGTGGGAGGGAGTGGGGATTTGTCCAAACAACTGCGTTGTTTCTCTTAGCGTACCTTGCGTGGGTACATGTTGAAGATCTTGGCTGCATTGGTGCTGGTTACAGCGACAAATCTGTTGGCATCCATCTTCCCAGTTACCTTGAGAGTGCCACGACATGGGAAAGAAAGAAGCAGAGAGGAACAAATTAGACATATAGAGATTCCGTTAGAGATGTGTGGAATCACTGATAAACATTCTGTTGTAATTTTTAGTTACTGAATTTTTTGCTTCACTGAAGTAAAGCTCAGTGACACTGCTCGCCAATACATTAAGTCCTTCCAATGACGGTCTCTCAAATCAGCTGTCTTCAAACTGCTTCTTTGGGCAACAGTTGCAGGGAACATTGTTTTTCCCAATACCCCATCAAAAGGAAGGGTTTTCAACCAACAGGTGCTTCTGCTCCTGGTGGATACGGAGTGACAAGTGTATAGTACACATGTCCCTTTAAGAGAAAGGCTTTACAGAGCCTGAAAGTATATATTACAACTTCTTCATTTTTGCACATTATTTTTCCTATCCAAGGGTTCTGGAAGCACGCCATCAGGGTTCAACTTTCAGGCATACAGGGTGTCTGCATAATCAGCTTGTCATTCCTAAGAATGTAGGTTGTTCATTACTCAATGAACATCCTTAAATATCGTCGGCTGCACTTCAAAGTGAGGTATATGATAATTTGGTGCATCACAAATTGATGTACCATCCGTAAATTTTGTTCACATGATGCGACAGTTTGTGGTGTAACCGATTATCTATAGGCAGGAAACACAGAAAACTCTTCTTGAGGCAAGCACTGATTTTGAAGGTTGAGTAGAAAGACCTGGTTTGGAGCTTACCACGCCCTTCTCCCAGATGACCGACATCCTGTCCTCCACGCCGTTGACCCCGTTGGGTATACGACTGAAGTCGTCCTTACCCAAGGCCTTCTGGTCCGAGCTGAAGGTGCAGTTGTCTGTCCCCGTGAGCTGCAGGTCACCGCTGTTGAAGACACAGAAGTTGAAGACATGTCTTAAATCTCAGACCATTCCTGTTCTGTCCCTTTTGGAATCAAGACACCTATGTTGGTGGCTCAGCAGTCTGTGTTCTGGCATGACTACATCTGAAATGAGCTACTGTCTATTGGACTTTCCAGGATGGACCTGCCTGGTCATCTGAGGGTGTTATGGCCCGTTTTAGGGGCCACACACCCAAAGTGTAAGGAGATTCAATATGTTTGACGATGTGAAGCACTTTATGAGAATGTTATTATTTTAAAAGTGAAGGTTTACTTGTGTGGGGTCCTTGCATGGCGTGGCAAAATGATTATCGGTCACTATCTCTCTTCTTTGCCAAAGTACTTTTTTCATGGAACATCAAATACTCACTTTGCTAGAAGGTCCATCAGGTAGCCCGGGGTAGTGGGGTCAGGTCGCAGCGGTGGCCCCATGACGTGGGCGGCCGCATGGCGCCAGTCCTTACAGAAGTAGTGGGATCCATCTGTGCCCAGCGAGGCAGCGATGGGCTCACCAAAAACCACTTTGCCTAGAATGAGGAGACGTGAAGAGGGCTCTAGTTTATTCTATGGGGAAACTGGCATGAAAATGATTCATGCTCAGTGTTTACATGACAACAAATCACATTCACGAGTTTTGAAAAGCAATACTTGCTAATCTTGAGACGGACAATTAATGCCATGAATGCAACAACAAAACCTCTTTGTAAAGAAATTGCTAAACACCAAAGGAAACCGTACAATCAACAACATCCAGGAAACTTAATAAATGTAATTGAGCATTCACATATAGATGGCTGCAGTAAGAAGACTGGATGAAATCTGTACATCTACCAAAATCTGGGAACCAAACTGTTTCAAACTTCAAAGGACCATTTCTCCATGCAAACAAGGCACCATCACTCGACAGACACAATACCAACGGCATGCTTCTTTTCTGTTTTACCCTCTCCCCTAGCCTTGGTGATGACCTCTGCTGAGCCCTTGCTCATGACCTTGGTGATATACAACGGGCACTGTGTCTGTGTGCCTATGCAAATGGCGCGGCCGACAGCCTCCGCCTCCACCTGGTTGCCATGGTCATCCCAAGATTGACAGATGGAGAGAGAAATGTGATTGGTAAGTTTCAAAAGTTCAGAAAATGATGTTAAAAAGCAGAGTTGAATCTTGTACCAGTGATGATTAAGGGGTCTGATTGGTGCAGCATGCAGTTCATGTGACATGCCATCATGTACCTTTCATTAAATGCAGCACTTTTTTTCGCTTCAAAAAACTGCTAGTTGTGAATTATTTTTCATGTTCGGTGGTTATAGTTGTGGCTTTAGACAAAAATCATTGCCAGTAACTCAGCTTCATATCTTATTGGTACATGTATTCAGGGCTGATTTGAAGAAAAAAGTAAAAGTCTCATTGATATGTACTATGCACTGTACGGTTCACAGTTTGATAATAAGGCAAACCCCTTTAGCCATTGCCTGTACATGATTCAACGCCGTTCTGGCTAGCAAACTACTCAGTGGCTACCTTCGCTCCTGGCCTTTCGTATGGCATCGGCGGCACTGCGGCTCATAACATGCACTATGTACAGGGGACAGTTAACCTGATTGGCTATGCATATCGACCGAGTGGTAGCCTCGGCCTCCACCTGGGAGAAACAGTGCTCATTTAGAATCGTGACAAAAATTTTGACAAAACAAAAAGACAAAACAGCAGGAAAGAAACGTTCATGAATATGCATTAAGTGAGATAAATGGAAGAATAATCTACAGATCAGACTGAAGTTGATAATTTCTATTCCTTTTAAATTGTATTAAGTAATGTTTACCTTTTGAAATGAATAGTAAGATTTCTGTTGCTTTTCATCTGAATCTGCTTCAAACAAACCTCTACAGTTAAATTTCTCTCGTTTGAAAATTTTCCCTTCCTTTTCAGAAATTTTGCATTTGAAGATTTAAATTCAGAAAATAATATATGAATACTTGATAACTGACTGAATATTCAGTTATTCAGATATTCGCCACAGCCCTATTATGGGTGTCGTGAAACAGGACGTAACCCTGGTACAGGCATTCTGATATTTGGAGACCAGTGCTTTCCATGTTTTCCACACGAGGCCGCAGAAACAGGCAGAAAATTAGATCCACATGTGCAGGTACATTCCTAAAAGAAGACAGCTGGTTTTGCCATCTTGCTGCCATCTAAAAAAAACATGTGTTCGCAATCTGAATCGATTGTTCTAACTACTGCCAGTTTTAACGGCTCCATCTAAACTGCAAGTCAAGGACAGTGTATTGCATGTACATTCCTACCATGGAACCTTGGGAAACCCTCGTCATTTCCTTGGTTTTTATAATTTCCCCAGGCATCTTCCTCCCTCGTGCAGCAGACAAGGAAATTATGAGTCACACTCCAGAAATGTGACAATCATTATTTCCAATAATCACCCTCCTCATCAAAGTCATGCATAAAACATTACCTGCTTTTAATACATATTCATTGGTGTTCCCAAAGAGGGAAGTGTTCTGGAAAGACCAGGAAAATGAATGGCTTACCATTCGTGCCATGTTTTCTTTCACAGTGTCTGACATTTTTAAAAAGCAATTCTGCCTTTCATGAGATCTATGATTTTTTTGTCTCTGCAAAAAGAAGGGAAGTTCTCCCTTTCAGTTTTGTTTCTGTCCAATGTTTTTTAAAGTTCTGATGCATTTTCATTTTTGAACAGTGATTTCCGCTAACTGTTGCCAAAAATTAAATGAAACTGGTGTAAATGTAAGTTTTCAAAATTGAGATTTTTGGGGAAAAGGGAAGTTGAAACCAAGTGTGATGCTGTATATATATATAAAGAGGGGTTGAAAAAGTTATCGGTACATGCACGAGCTTAGAAATGAAACTATAAATCACTATTTATGGTTCACGGTTTACAACTGTTCCTGGCTTGTCAATTGTGCCTAACTGGTTTTTTTAATCCTTTACAAACGTACGTACTAGTTGGTTTCTTCAAAATAATGTTTTCTCATATTTTCCCTCACGCACTGATTGGCTGATTCCATTTTAATGGTTGTCTAACTTATTCGTTTTTTGTTTTTTTTAAATACCCCTCCGATGTTTCCCAGCGTTTGAAGGCTGCGGTCACGCATTCATTTCATATCTGAAGTTTTATGTTGCAGGCAACAGCTGTATGTTTTTAAGCAACAGCAAATGACAATTGACTTACGTCCTCCGGTCGGCTCTGGAGGTGGCCCTCTGGGCCAGTGATACCCAGAGATTGCATCTTCTTGGTGTTCTAAAGTCAGAGACACAAAAACTGTTTAAATATGGTATGTAAGTGAGTCATCTGAATTGCAGGAGGGGCACTCACAGTTTTTGTGTTGAACAAGAAGCTGAATCTAGCAATCAAAGTTGATTTCTTTTATTAAGAAGGCATTTTTTGGTTGCATCATTACTTCTAACAAACCGTCGTTTCAGCAAACAAACTATATTTTTTCTATTGGGGCTTCTCAATCTTGTCTCATATTTGTGCTTTGCTCGTTTTGTACTAGGACACCCCTTTTTTGCACGTGCAGACCAATTTGACCACCCAGTTTTCAACTGTAAAACGCCTCACATGAATGCCTCCTGAGCTTGTCAACTTCTGCAGGTGAACGTACCTCATCAATGATGTCCCCGTTCTCTGCATGCATCAAGGCCAGGGCCCCGTTTTCCTTGATTATGCTGAAGGATTTGTACAACTGTTGGACGAAAAGGTAAATGGGTTATGTGGATTGTTTTTTTCCTGCCGATTGCAGCAGAATCGGTTTTACACTCGCAATCAAGGTTATGAAGTTGACTTAACGTACATTAAATGTATTATTTTGATTTTAAAAGGGCACCCACCTCATCGTCTGAGAGCATAAAGACTCCCTTATAGGCCATGAACATCTTGAAGGAATTCACACCTGCAAGCCAGAATGAGCACCTTTAACATTTGTGCATGTCTAAACATGCATTTTGAAACCAATCAATCTCAGTTTTCCACTGAAACATTTTCACGAATCAGAATGGTACGGTTCAGCTGCTCACACTTTGAACACATCTAAACATCTCAATTATGTTGAAGCCTACTTGTATGTGTTATTGATATATCCTGCAAATCATATTGGAGAATTTGGGAAACTTTCAAGCTGGAGCGTTCAAGGAATTGGAGGCATAACCAGTTGTAGCTTGTAAGCATGCAACTCTGTTTTTCAATAACTCCATTCTGCTCAAGACTCTGCCACGCACCTTCACGTGCTGGGATTCAAACAATGAATAACCATTCAATTTACCGGTAAACACAAAGATTGCCAACAGGTGCACTGATGTCTAACGTTATGATGGGCCCAGCCCACGTACCTTTCTCCTGACACAGGGTGGCAATGTCCTCAGCCACGCCATCCCCCCACCAGGTCACGCCCACATGAAGGGAGTAGTCACAGCAGACCTTGGGGTCAGCCCAGCCACGCCACTTCTCGTAAGCTTCCAAGAGTGGCTCGCCCTTCTGCGGGAGGCAGTGATCAACTGCAGTGAAAGTAAACATCATGGACTGTAACATCCCTTCG